GATGCTGGGGATTGAAGCCAGATTGGCCGCGTGCAAGGCAAATGCCCTACCTGCTGTACTATCATTCTGGCCCAGTAATTTTTAAATTTTATTTTCATAAAGTTGTTCACAATAATTGATTACATTCAATATTTCAACACCAATCCCACCTCCATTACATCTTCTCACCACCAATATTTCAAATTTTCTCACCACCACCCAAACCTGTACTACAGGCAGATGCTAAATAATTTATTTTGTATTGCTTATTATGAATAATTGACTAAAAATGATCCAAAGGGTTTCCTTAGGGGAAAGTATGTGAAAATTGTTGTATCTCATCTTGAAGCTATTAAGCTTCTGTATAAGAGATCAATAAGATGTTATTCGAGTTTGAGTGTTTGTGAGCTAATATATATATGTATATATTATACATACACACACACACACATATATATATCTCAAGATCAGCTGTCTTCTACCTTACATCCCATCAAATGTAGTGTGCTACTCTTGGTATATCAGTGGCATAAAGTTTGAAATGTTGTGTGGCGGCTTCTGCAAGCCACACACTCCTGGAAATCTAAAATTTTAAATAGGATGCTAGTTCTGGAGTTAATTTTTTTAACTGCATGGTGATTTTGGGGTCCAAAGGCTACAGTTTGCTGCTCTCTTTTTCAAGATTCACTTGTGAGTCTCTGGATCATGGCCATTAATGGGCTTAAATGGTGCCCAGAGGCATGAGTGTGACTGCCAGAAAACTGGAAGGACAGGAAGATGGGAGGAGGAACCAATTCCCAATTCTGTTCAAGCCTGGAGGTTTCAGTCACAAGTCCCTTCATACCTAGGTTTTTCAGTGGATTCATTCTCATGTTTTGGGGGCTTGGGACAAGCTTGTGAAGGTTGGCCATCAGTGTGGCTATGACTGGGTATTGAAGGTTTGCGCCTGCTGGGGTTCTTCTGGGTCAGGCGGAGGGATACACCTGCCCCCTCTCTGAGGTGCCCAGATGAAATCAGCCTGGCACGGGGTGGGGAAACATCTCTGCACCATGCTGCTCTCTTCCAGCATTCATTTGTGAGTCCTACCAAATTCTTTAGTTGTCATCTCCGCTTATAGTTTCCTCATTTCTGCTCTCATTTCCTTGTGTTGCATTGGCTCTCCATTCTATTGTTTCTTAGAGCTCTTTAAACATTCTCAATATTTTCTCTCTAAAATTCTTATCAGAGAGATTATATAGCTGGCTATTACTGGTTGAGTCTTCAGAGATACCATATTCACTATGCGTAGTAAGGTTCTTCATTGCTTTCTCATTGTGGTTTTTGTAGTCTAGATATGAGTTGTTGTGTGAATAGGTGACTCAAATTAGGATGTCAATGAATACTCTTATATAGTCATTTGCTTTGGTGGGGTCCTGACCTGGAGGGCAAAATCGTGAATTCAGAGTGCAGTTCCTAAGAGGGTTTCAATGCTATACTGTTTCTTGGGACCAGGAATGGGATGGGACATGCCACAATTTTAGACTTTTAGAGTAAGAAATTTTATTGTCAGCTATCAAAACAGTAGATATTAATAGCTATTTTTTAAAATTGTTTATGTCAAAGATCTTACAAGCATTTTTATCACTTAGTTTTTTTGGGGGAGAGCCACATCTGATGGTCTTTGGGGTTTACCTTACTTAAGGCTCTGAGCTTAGAGATCTCTCCAAACTTTGTATCACGTCTTAAAAGTATCTTCTTCTTAGGGTAGGAGCAATAGTACAGCAGATAAAGCACATGCCTTGCATACAAATGACCCAGTTTGATCCCCAACATCCCAGACAGTCCCTAACCTTCACCAGGAGATATTTCTGAGCACAGAGTTGGGAGTAATCCCTGAGCACTGTTGGTTATAGCTCAATCTATTTCTTTTGGTTTTGGGACATACTCAGCAGTGCTCAGGAGATTCTATTGGCTCAGTACTCCAGCAGTTCTCAGGAAACCAAATGGTGCCAGTGATTAAATCTGGCTATCCTGTATGCAAAGCATGTACTTAGCCTTTTGAACTACCTCTCTTCTCTTTAAAAATACTTTAAGTAGTGATAAACTCACATGTAATTGAAATAAACAATAGACAGAACCATAGGCCCCAGGATAGCTCAATGGTACAGTATCTTTGTCAACACAAATCCATAAACGAGTTCTAAAGCACCACCCCATATCCTGATGCACAATTCTGGTGATCCTGCCATTTGGTACTTCAAGTGTCACAGTCAAGTGTGCGAGAGCTTCCACTATAAAACATAAAAAATAGTATATGTGTTGGGCCAGATGACAGCACAGTGGGTAGGTAGGGTGCGTGCCTTGCTTGTGGCCAGCCCAAATTCAATCCCTGAGATTATTTAGTCCTTTGAGCACCTCCAGGAATAATTTCAGAGCACAGATCCAAAAGCAACCTCTGACAATCGTCAGGTGTGGACTAAAAATTTTATTTCTAACAACAGCAAATATGCAAAAACAGGACTAATACTGGTGGTTGACTATGATTAGTAATGGTAGGTAAAGAGGAAAGGTAGTAATAAATCTAGGGAGAGAGAGACAGATAGCAGGTAAGTTACCTGCCTTGCAAGTGTTCCAAGTATCCAACTTGGATTCAATCTCCAGCATCACATCTGGCACCCTGACTATAGTCATGAGTAATCCCTGAACACAGGACCAGAGGTAAGCCCTGAACATCACTGTGTGAGGCCCTCAAAAAACTAACCAAAGCATAGGCAAGAGAGGTGTTACAGCAGGTAAGGCACTTTTCTTGCACACAGCTGACCTAGGTTCAATCTCTCATATCTCATATTGTTCCTCAGTACCACCAGGAGTGATCCCAGAACACCAAGCCAAGTATAAGCCCTAAGCACTACTGGGTAAGGCACTCCCCGCCCCTCCTACCCCCCGCAAAATAAAAGCAGAATCTTTAATGATGCTAATAGGTCTATACTTCCTTTTTGGGATACAAATGTTCTTAAAATCATGGGGACCAGGAAGGGAGCACTTCTTTGTGTGTGGCTGCCCCCAGTTTAATACCCAACACTTCACGATTCCAGAACACGCCCAGAATAGAAGAATAGAAACAGTAGTAGTCCCTGAAAACCACTGGTTATGACCAAAAAACAAAAAAATAAAGATTATGAGGATCATTGGGAAACTCAATATATTAGAAATGTACCACATGTAATATCTCAAAGTATATAACCTTTTGGACATAATTTTTTTTTTAAGCAAAATAGATTTTATTTGGAGGGATTTTTTTGGGGGGCGGTGGGGAGGTATAGAAGGGAGAGAAAGAATAACGTACTTTAGAGACCGTGGGCTCCTCCAAGGGCAGAGGGAACCCCTACACACATCCTAGCATTAGATACGAAAGCATGAAAGCACACATCTCAAGAGGGGAGATGCGGGCGACACATGTGCTCGGGCACATGTACTCGGCCATGTGGGTGCAAGCAGCACACGGGCTCAGGCAGCATATGCGCTAGGATATAATTTTTATCACTTAGCAAAATTCTCTGAAGGATGATCCAGACATATCAATACAATAGTTGTACCTATCAATACAACAGTTGTACATATCAATACTTAATCCTTTTCATTACTAAGCTAGTATTATTGTATAGATATACCAATCTTTAAGTCATTTAAAATAAAAAATGAAAATGAGAATAATGTAAAAATAAGAAGACCAACTAATGTTTTTTCTCCTATGAATTATTTTCATATCTGAGTGGGAATTCCCCCCTCCCCCCAGGGTAGACTATACCCAGTGGTGCTAAGGAATTGTTCCTGGTGATGATCAGGGAAACATGCAAAGACAAGGAATGAACCAGGATCAACTACATACAGAATAAGCACCTTAATCCTTATACTTGGCCTCAAATTCTTTTTGTATCTTTAGTTTCTATTCTTATCTCCCCATTTTTGGGTTAGCAAGGACTCTATAAGTTGTGTTCAGGAGGCCCAAAGGCCATCTTGGTGAATCTCACCCTACTGGTATAACAGTTTAATACTAAAGCATTGATGCAATGCTTCTTGGGTCCTGTGCTGTCAGAGATTACCCAGTCACCCTGAGGGTGCTCAGAGGACCCTGTACAGGAAAGAAGGGAGGGAGGAAATTTTATTGGGAAAATTTGAAATAATGGTGGTGGGAAAGTGTAACAGTGGTGAGCGAAGTGCTGGAATATTGAATGCAATAACTTATTGTGAACAAGCTTTTACAAATAAAATTAAAATAAAAAAATTTAAAACAAGAAATAATAATATCCTAACAGGATAGAGAAGGGAACACTATGACAATGATAGTTAGAAATGATCACTTTGGACAAGAACTGAATGCTAAAAATAGATAAAGGACAAACATGATAACCTTTCAGTACCTGGATTGCAAACCATAACGTCCAAAAAGAAAGAGAGCAAAAGAAAGAGGAAAGAAGTGCCATGCTTGGGTGAGAGGGGGGTAACAGGAGGAAACTGGGGATATCAGTGATGGGAAATGTGCACTAGTGAAGGAATGGATGGTAGAACATTGCATCACTGAAACTCAATCATGAACAACTTTGTAACTGTATCTCATATTGATTCAATAAAAATAATTAAACTACCACTTATTTTTATTTAATATCTCTATATTAAAAACCAAGGGCTGGAGTGATAGCACAGCGGTAGGACGTTTGCCTTGCGCACAGCTAGCCCGGCCGAGCCGGGTTCAATTCCTCCGCCCCTCTCGGAGAGCCTGGCAAGCTACCGAGAGTATCTCGCCCTCACGGCAAACCCTGGCAAGCTACCAGTGACATATTCGATATGCCAAGCACAGTAACAACAAATCTCAAAATGGAGACGTTACTGGGCCCACTCAAGCAAATTGATGAACAATGGGAGGACAGTGACAGTGACTAAAAACCAAAACTGAACAAAAAGGTAGTTTATAACTAGGGTACACTAACAGTGACAACAGAAAGTAAACTGAGAGGACTACATTTCAAATTATAGGTACCCACCTTGCTTCCGACAGCCTGGGATTTTGATAAAGGCTCCATAATCTGTCACCATAGCAACCTATATGGACCCAAAAAAGGGGAAAACAATAATGAGGATCAGACTTTAATTAGCATTTAGCCTCATCTTCCTAAATTTCAATTTGGTACTGAGTGCAAAACTGCCTAAACATGATATTCATCAAACATTCTTTGTGGGGACTGGGGAGATGGCTCAGAGGGCACAAGCTTTTCATATGAGGTTCAATCTTTAGCACCACCTGGTCCCCTGATGACCCAAGGGGTATCCCAAACAAAAAGCTAGGAGTAGTCTATAGGCACTAATAGGTATGACCCCCTTCCTCCCAAAATAAAGCATTACTTCATTCTTTTTTGAAATTCAGACTGACAGGTGTGAAAAAATTAAAGATATTAATAAGGTTAAACTACCAAGTAATAAGTTATACTTTGGGCTGGAGCGATAGCACAGCGGGTAGGGCGTTCGCCTTACACGCGGCCAACATGGCCGACCCGAGTTCGATTCCTCCACCCCTCTCGGAGAGCCCAGCAAGCTACCGAGAGTATTCGATATGCCAGACACAGTAACAACAAAAGTCTCCAATGGAGACGTTACTGGGCCCGCTCGAGCAAATCGACGATCAACGGGAGGGCCTTTACCTTACCTTAAGTTATACTTTCTACTAGCTGAAATGAGGACTTCAGTCCTAACACAGGAAACAATAATTTGTGACAAATCATACAGAGCATCCCTTCTCCTAAATTTCAAATTAAATGAGACATATAAAGTCTACTGTTTTACTCCAAACCAGAATCTTGGATTTTACAAAAAACAAAAAACAATCAGAAAATAATGCATTTAAAAGAACCTAATGCATTTAAATATGCATTTAAAAGCAGGTAGGGTGTTTGCCTTGCATGTGGCCGACCCGGGTTCGATTCCCAAGCACCACCAGGAGTGATTCCTGAGTGCAGAGCCAGGAGTGACCCCTGAACATCGGCTGAGTGTGACCCAAAAAGCAAAAAAAAAAAAAAGACCGTAAAAAGAAATAATCAGAAAGTTGTCTTCAAGATTTTTATAGATGAATTTATAGCCTCAATTTTTATATACTATATAAGATGAAATAGTAAAAGGCCTAGATCCCTTACCAAATAAATCATTATCCCAGATTCCAGGTCTGCCTGTGGACTGGGATAGAAACTGTCACTGCATGGTCTGGAGAGATAGAACAGTGGATAAGGCATCTGTTTTCATGTACCTGACCCCACCTTGATTTCGAGCTCTGCATATGGGTCACTGAGCACTACCAGGAGTGACCCCTGAGCAGAGCCAGGAAAAGACTCCAAGCACTGTCATGTATGGCCAAAAAACAAACCCCCCAAAAATAATAATAATAAAAAAATTTTAAAAAACTGTCACTAGATACTTTAATATTAAATCCATTACATATAATAAAATATTCAATACCATCTTACACATGTGAACTTTATTCTTTTCAGTGATTTAAATTTTATATTTCATTTTGAGTAACCAAACTTTCAGCTATCCCATAACTTAAACAAGGGGACAATGAATGGGGCAAAGAAATGGCTCAATCAGCTGAGTGTATACTTTTCATACATAAGACCAATAAGTCCCTCAGCAGCACTGACAGCAATCCCCTGAACACAAAGCCAGAGTAGACCTCAAGCACTGACAGGTATGGCTCAAAAAATAAAAAAATAAAACAAGAAGGTAGAGCTAAGAATGTGCCTCAGTGTTAGGGCACAAGCCTTATATTTGGCAACACTGGTTAAACCCCCTGCACCACAACAGCCAAACAATAAATGAAAAAAAATTTTAAATTTTTGGTGTCAGGTTATACCAAATGGTCAAATGGTGCTCAGGGTGTACTTCTTGCTCAGCACTCAAAAATCACTCCTGGTGGACCATATGTGGTGCTGTAGATCAAACCTGGGTCAGATACATGCAAGGTAAGCTCCCTACCTAAAGTTCTATTGTTCTGGCACCAGTAAGTAAAAATTGTAATATCAGGGGACAGAATACAATTCCTGCTGTACTGCTATTCACTAATAGCATTCACTAATCCCAAGAATTCTATATATGCAAAACACTACAATCTTTATATACTGTATTTCATTACAGAATAATCAAATTTATGCATATTTTTCTGCCACAAAATGAGGTGTGGTACTATGTGAAACTGCTTTTTAAAAAATTATGTCAGCAGTTAATGGAATCATGTGCATGGGAATGCATCATGAACAGTATTGTGGGGGCCAAAGCAATAGTACAGTTGGTAGGATTCGACCCAGGTTCAATTCCTGGCATCCCATATGATCCCCTGAGCCTCACCAGGAGTGATCCCTGAGTGCAGAGCCTGGAGTAAGTTCTGAGCACTGCTAAGTGTGGCCCCCACTCAAAAAACAAACAAAAAAAAGGCATCCATTTCTACTTCTAGTTTCCATCACTGTGTCTCCTAAGGTATAGTCAGAGTTGAAATTAACAGAATAGCACATCTTTGAGGACCACACAATTTGCCTTATATCCCAAGAATTGTTAAATAACTCTGTGTGTGTGTGTGTGTGTGTGTGTGTGTGTGTGTGTGTGTGTGTGTGTTGGGGAAGGGACTTGTCTTGGATGAAAACTGATCTATCACCTTCATATCTAACCTTCATCCAGGATACACTGGCCTTGAAACTAGTTAACCCCATTACCCATTAAGTGAGAAATTAAAGGTTCAGAAAAATGTTATTTGTCTAGAATCAAGCAGTTTGAAAGTGGCATGACACTTTCAACAGTTAGGCATAGGAGCCAAACAGTAAGGGGCATAAGGCTCTTTGTCTTACATACAGTGAACCAAGGTTAGAATCCCTGGCTTCGCATATAATTTCCTAAACACTGCCAGGAGTGATCCCTGAGCAGAGGAAGGAGTAAGCCCGAAAACCACCGGATGTGGCCCCAAACCAACCTCTTTCCCACCCCTCCCTACCCCCCCCCCCCAAAATCAAAGGAATAAAGCAGCTTGTTTTTAAATTGCTCATACAATGATATCTCTGCCTTATCAATACTAATCTCCCCATAGAACTTTTTTGGTTTTGGCTAGAGAGTCACACCCTATAGTGCTAGTGGTCATATACTATAGTGCCTGGAGGACCAAGCAGTGACAGGGGCTGAACCTAGACTCCTGATATAAAATATGTACATCAGCCTGTTGAACCATCTCCCTGGCCTTACCCTACGCATTTATTTCGCTATGGCTGGGCTGAGTCAAACCTTAACTCCCAATGCTTTGCTTATATTCCCCTACTATGCATGCTCAATGGACCAAGGCAAATACAGTATTTTCTTCCTTAAAGTTTTTCCTCCTCAAAAAATTGACCTTGAAAAACTAAATTAAAAAGAATCTTGGAGGCCAGAAAGATAGTACAGCAGAGCACTTGCCTTGCAACTAGCATACCAACTCTGCATCCCATATGAACCCTCAAGCCCCATCAGGAATGATCCTGAGTGCAGAGCCAGGAGTAAGCCCTTAGCACTTTTGGAGTGAACCCAAAGCATAAAAACTCTTGGGTGGGAAATGCATCAGCAGCAGAGCACTCACCTTGCATGTGTGAGACTCTACATTGAATCCCTGGCACCACATACACATAAAACATCTTGCTTGATCATTCTTCATCAGCAAAGCTGTATTCAGTACATATTTTTCTCTACCCACCTACCTGAAAACTGAGGTCTTCATCAGGAAACAAAACAAACCAAGTCTGGCCCTAAATACTAATGGGAGCCACCCCAGAGAACCAAGCTAAGAGTAATTCCTGACAATGTTGGGTGTGACCCCCCCCCCCAGAAAATTAAACAGTAACTAACAGTTAAACAAAACAACATTATCACAGAAGACAGAGTCAAACCATACAAAGAAACCATACAAAGATCATAAAACAAGTTTGGACATATTCAAGTTTAAGCCTAGCTGTTGGAAAGCAGTCTAGTTCAATATGTTATTGTTTTGTGCCAGGGCAACAGCCAGCAGTATTCCTCAGGAGCTCTATGGCAGGGACTGAACCTGGGCCTTCTTCATGCAAAGCTTGCATTTAGTTTGCTAAGCTATCTCTTTAGTACCCCCAGTCTGCTTTTTTAGGTGAAGGAGGGGTGCTCTACAGGTAATTTGTGGCCAACCAGATCTTCAATTCAATGCAAAGCCCTGCTGATATGATGCTGTGGTGCTGAGGATACTCAAGCCACCATGGTGGTATTGGGGCATTCAGGGTTATGCCCAGTAGTGCTTGAGGGCTTCGAGGGCTGCCTGCACCCAGTGATGACTAAGGGACAACTTGGTACAGAGAAATGAACCAGTATTGGCTCCCACCCATGTTTTTTTCCCCTCCTCTTACATTTATTTGTACAAATAGTACAGAAGGACCCATGCAGGACACAGCCCAGGGGTCGTACGAATCCTACCCTCGCACTGGCAGACAGGAACCTCTAATGAAGTTTTGACAGGGGCCTAAGCAACCTTCAGAGCTTGAGCTGGTGCTGGACCTATAGCCACCAATTGCGTCCTGGTTTGGGACTTTATCTGAGCCTTGGTTTCAACCTTGGTCTTTGGCTGGAAGAGCATGAGACATGAGCCTTTTCTCCAAGCTAGGGGAGAGCAATGAACACAAGTCAACTGAGCCTGCAACTGTTGCTCCTTGTGATGTTGGACCTAACCTGCTTGGGCTTTACAAGGGTCTTGATAACATCAGCACAGGCACTTGTGATTTTGCATTCTTGGCCTGCATCATCTTCAGGCCCTTCTTGTTGCGTTTCTTAGCAAAGCACACATTTGTTAGAATTTGGGATGCACCACTTTAAGAGACCCAGGTTTCTTAATGCCATTTCTGTGCCATTTCTGAGATCAGTGGGTTGTATATGGTGTGGTTCTTGTACTTGGCCATATCTGTACCATGACTGTAGTTCTCCAAGTGCCGGATGCCAGTTTGTTTTTTAAATGCTATTCTGGGGTCCAAGAGATAGGAGTTAAGGCATTTGCTTTGCATGCTATCAATCCCAGTTCAATCCCCAGCACTGCATGAGGTCCCCAGGACACTGCCAGATGTGGCCCAACCTATCCCCCTCCAAATAAAATCATTACTACTTAGGCTGTAAAGAACAGATTGTAAAGTGCTACAACAAAAAACAAAGGGCAGACAAAAGATGGAGAACTGAATTAATAGGATGCCAGGCAAATAAAAAATATACACAGATCAGATATATATTTAGAAGACAGAAATGATAGGAATTGCTGACAGATTACTGAAGGAAAAGTCAAGATCACATCAAGAGACCTAGATTTCTGAATAATGTTCCCATTTGCTAAAAGTTTAAAAAAGGGAGAGAAGAATTTAGTATGAAAAATTTTAATTGTTTTAAACATAAACTAGAAGGCCAGAGAAACAGTTCAACAAGCTGAAGTAGATGCTTTGCATAGAGGAAGGTTCAATCACTGGCATCAAGTGGTCCTCTAGTAACCCCAAACACAGCTGGGAGTAGCCCGAGAACAATCTAGCATGGCCTCCAAACTAATAAAAATTTTAAAACATAAATTAAGAGATTGTGAGTTATCCAAATGACAATCTTAAGTACGCAGTTAGTCTGAAATTTTGGGAATATAATATAGTAGGCTGAAGCTCCATTTGCCCTTTCCATTTAAAATACAATGCTCAGGGATGGAGCGATAGCACAGCGGGGAGGGTGATTGCCTTGCACGCGGCCAACCCAGGTTCAATCCCCAGCATCCCATATGGTCCCCCAAGCACCGCAAGGAGTAATTATTGAGTGCAGAGCCAGAAATAACCCCTGAGCATCACAGGGTGTGACCCCCCTCCCAAAAAACTGCAATGCTCGATACAGTAAACAGAGAGAAGCTTCAAATCTAATTGCTTTTCACCCTTATAATACATAAAATAATAGGGTGGAGTTTTGGGGTTTTTTCATTTTTTTCAATCTTTCAAGTGATGCTAAGACGTACAAAGGAAACTGTCAGCCAACTGAGCCTGCAATTCAATATAAGAGCCCACTGATGCTGTGCTGCTTAGGCCCTATGGTGCCAGAACACTAATGAGGAGAAAAGGAGGCCTCCAAGTATGAACCTGATAATTCTCAGGAGACTATGTGGTGCTGGGGATCCAACCCAGATCAACAGCATTTCAGGCATATACCCTAATTCCTGTACCATCTTCCAGCCCCTCTCCCAAATGGTAGGTTTTCAAAGCACAAAAGAATATACCTCTCCTTGGAAAATAGTATAGAGGGCAGGCAAGTTTTCCATGGTCTCAGGTCTTCCTGAATTCATCCTTAATGTTTTATGGTTCCTCCATTTCTCTTCTGTTAAAGCTAATTCACGTGCCCTGTCGCACATATGCACACACACACACACACACACACACGCACACACACACAAAGTGGGGAGAGAGAAAATAATTAGAAAGATACATGCAAAAGAACAGTAATGAATAGGCAATCCTCAAATAGCTTCTACAGAATAATATCATTAGATTATACAGCACAGTTATTCAACTCTTTTGCTTTTTTTGTCCACTCTAATGGTGGGCAGTTGGAGAAGAGATTGTTCAGTGGGTGAGATCCTTGCCCTGCACAGTTAGCCCAGGTTCAATCCCTGTCACCCTATATGGTCCCAAAACCAAAACATAATTTTTTAAATTGTAGGGAGTTTTAGAAACTTTAATCTCATATTTTGCTCTATTTGATATTCAAGACCATGAGTTTACTGATTTTTAATTGCAACTGCAGCTCCAACCAGTTGTTACTTGTGTCTCTCCCTCTCCCAGCCTCCCTATTCCCTTAGAAACAATACTGAAATTAGGCTAAAATGACCTCACGTATTACAGTGAAAGACTGTCATGCCTCTCACTTTAAATTGAAAATTAGAAATTATTAACCTCAGTGAAGGCAATCAAAAGCTCAGTTAAGTAATCAAAAACTAAGTTATTTGCACTAAACAGTCAACCAAATTGTTAACATGAAGGAAAAATTCTTGAGATTAAATGTGTTATTCCGAGGATCAAATGAGAAGAAAACAAAAAGTTTTTCTTTTTAGTGCTGATATGGTTTTAATGTACAGAATAGAGCAAACCAGTCAGTCAGATGATTCTCTTAAGCCAAAACCTAGCTCAGAGCAAGGTTCTACCTCTCAACTCAATTATATCAAGGCCAAGAGAGGAGAGGAAGCTGCAATAAATTCTGCAGCTAACAGAGACTGATTCAGGAGGTTTCAAGAAACTATTGGTGTAACACACAAGACGTAGCAGGCAAGTGTAAAGTGCAAGGTGAACAGCAAGTGCTGAAGTAGAAACTGCAGCAAATTATCCAGACTGAGCTAAGATCATTGGTGAAAATGGATACTCAAGGTAACAGATTTCCAGTATTATATAAAACAATTTTATGCTGAGATATGCCAGCTAGGAACATATTTTTTTTTGCTTTTTGGGGTCACATCTGGCGTTACACAGGGGTTACTCCTGACTCTGCGCACTCAGGAATTACTCCTGGTGGTGATCAGAGGACCATATGGGATGCTGGGAATTGAACCGGAGTCAGCCATGTGCAAGGCAAACGCCCTACTCGCTGTGCCTACACCAGCCCCAGCTAGAGACTTTTATAACTAGACAAGTCATGTCCATCTAAGGACAGGGCGACTTTCATTAGGGGTTAATGCAGCTAGGGATGGTAAGTTGAAGGCAATGAGGTTACCATTCTGAAAATTTTAAGATGCTAGGGGCATAATTATGTCTGGGAGTAACTTCAAATTTCAAGTCTTTTTTTAAAAAAAAATTTAATTATTTATTTATTGGTTTTTTTGGGTCACACCTGGTGATGCTCAGGGGTTACTCCTGGCTTTGCACTCAGGAATTACTCCTGGAGGTGCTCGGAGGACCAAATGAGGATGTCGGGGATTGAAGCCGGTTCAGCCACGTGCAAGGCAAATGCCCTTCCCACTGTACTACAGCTCCAGCCCTGAATTTCAAGTATTAAGAAATGGATTTTAGGGACTAGAGCAATAGTACAGAAGGTAGGGTACTTGCTTTTAATGTAACCAACATAGGAACTATCCCCAGCATTACATACATAATCCCCTGAAGCCCTCCAGTAGTGATCCTTGAGCACAGAGCCAGGAGTAAGCACTGAGTATTACCAGGCATGGTCCCCCAAAAGAAACAAAACTACAGAATATTACACAAACTTAATAAAGCAGTAGGAGGGTTTCAGAGGATTCACTCTTAGTTTTGAAATAATTACTAGCATGGGTAAAATGTTATTAGACAGTACTGCATACTATAGAAATACTTTTCATGAAGACTCAAAACAGCAATTTTTTAAAAAATTTTTATTTAGGCACCATGATTTACAATATTAATAACAAAGTTTCAAGCATACAGTGTTCTAACACCACATCTACCACCAGTGTCAGGGTTCAAGATCAGTATCTCTAGGTTCCCCATCATAGCCCCTTCGGAAAACTCTTATTATAGTTTGAATCACATGCTTATAATATTGTTGACATTTTGGTGTGGTTATCTCAGCTCTCCACCACCAAAGCACATCAACCAATGCTGACTGTTACCTCCAATCCACCTCACGATTGCCCCTATTCCACCCATCTCACTCCTCCCTTTATTTGCAATTCTCAGCTTTGTAATTCAAGGTCATGGTTTGTCATCATTTGAAACCTTCCCTTTCTCTTTCTTGTTCCTCTATATACCACAAAGCAGTGAGATTATCCAGTATTTGTCCTTCTCCCTCTGATTTACTTTGCTTAATAACATGATACTTTCCAGGTCTATCGAAGTTGCAATGAACTGCATAATTTCCTCTTCTCTTAGGGCAAAGCAGCAATACTAAAAACAAAAAATGGGCTGGAAATATAGTACAAGAGGTAAGACACTTGCATATGGCAGTAGTGATTACAGTCTGCAGCCACTGGCAGCACACACAGTTTCCTAAGTAACTCCAGGATTAACTTCTAAACACAGAATCAGGAATACTCTCTGTGCACGAATAGATATGGCCTCCCAAACAAAACTAACACTTGGGGCACTGGCCCTGCACACAGCCTACCCAAGTTTGATCCCTGACACCCCATATGCTGCCCTAAGTTTGCCAGGAGTAATCCCTGAGTGCAGACCCAGGAGTAAACCCTGAGCATCACTGGGTGAAGCCCCCAAACAAAACAGACCAAACACTAAACAAGCAATTTAAAGAAATTCCTGTGACTCTAACCTCCCACATCCACTTCTCATCAGTCAGCAGTCTTTTCTCAACACTGAGATGAGAAGACACTCCAGCAGCAAAAGCTTACGGTTCAAATAATGGTGAGAAATAATTGTAAAGAGTCTCCTGCCTCTGCGCCTGGCTGTCCTCACCGGGGCCCCTTGAAGGAGGGTGGGTTGAGTTTCCCTCCCCACCCCGAGCAGAGCACCAGCAGCTGAAGACCTCCGGTACCAGCCACAGCCATGCTTAAGACCACTCTCCACACGTTCGGACGAGCCTCATGCATGAAGGAACCGGCAGAGGAACCAAGGTGTGCAGGACCGGGGGCATAGATCTCCAGCCTGCTCGGACTGGGACTGGGACTCCTCCACCCAGATCCCCCATCTTCCAGTATGTAGGCATTACACCCACCAACTGCCCCCGGTGCTGTGTAATCCCATCACTGGCCAAGACCCAGAGACTATAAAACCCTGCTCCCGGAAGTGCGCAGCAACAAGTTCTTACTCTGGAAAACCTGGCAGGCTACCAAAAGTATCCTGCCCATACGACAAAAGTCTGGCAAACTCCCCGTGGCATATTCAATATGCCAAAAACCAGTAACAATGATGGGTCTCATTCTCCTGACCCTGAAAGAGCCTTGAATGTGGCACTTTCTAAAATCTCAGGGCTAGGACGAAGGAGACGTTACTGGGGCCTGCTCGAAGAAATCGATGAACAACAGGATGACAGTGATACAGTGAATTGTAAAATTAAGTTGTATACTTTTTTTTGATGTAATACCATTGCACACACTATAGTTTAAAACAATTGATTTGTTTAAAAGAACAGTTTAAAACAATACAACTTTTAATTTTATCTCTTTTCCTCCACTCTTCTTTCTCTTTGTTGCAAAAACCGAGAGTCACACACACTCTCTAGGCTCTGATACTTGCCAAAGTCACACATTTGGCTGCAGTTCTTGTATGTGAGCTCATCAGAAGTCACACTCTTAGTTATGGTGCTCTTTACCATTCTGGTTGTATAATGCTTTGGCCGGGGGTCGCCGCGGTGCTCACTTATGACTTACTGTTATACTTCTGTCCACAGTGCTTGCACATCTTGGCCTGTAGTGCTCACTGAAGGCTGCACACTTAGCTACGGTGTTTACACATACCTGGCTGCAAGGTGGCCAAGGATCACTTGCAGTGGCTGGGATCTCAGACATCATAGCTACTAAAAACAAACAACTGCATCATCAGCATTGCACTTTATACATTTGGTATATGGGTATCAAACTTACAGCCTCAAACTTGCAAGGCAGGTGGTCTAGTCACTGATCAATCTCCACAATATAGTAATAACTACAGTCACCAGGGTGTGTGTATATACATATATATAACACCAATTACGTAGCACTATGGCACTGTCCTCCTGTTGTTCATTGATTTGCTCAAGTGGGCCCAGTAATGTCTCCATTGTGAAACTTGTTTCTGTGTTTGGCGTATCAAATACGTCACCAATTATGTATAATTGGAAATTTGTACCTTTTGATTGCCTTCACCCATTTCACTCAACCTCCCCAAACCTGCTTCCAGCAAACAACAAATGTGTTCTCTATGTCCTCTAGATCTGTGAGGTTTTTCTCTGGTTTTGTTTTGCAGTGCCAGGGAATGAACCTAGGATCTCATATATGCAACACAAGTGCCCTACCACTGAGCTATACTCCCCCTCTCCTGGAAATCAGTTTTTAAATCTTTAGGCCACACCTTGTTGGGCTTACTCCTGGCTGTGCACTCAGGAGTCACTTCTGGGTTGCTGGGGGGACTGTATATGGTATGTGAGAGCAAACCTGGGTCAGCTGCCTGCAAAGGCAAGTGCTTAACCCACTGTACTATCACTCCAGCCCCTAAATTTTTATGTAAAATTTCATTTGGAAAAAAATAATCCTACTACTTTCCATAAAAGTCTATACGGAACTGGAAAAATACCACAGCAGGTAATGCCCTTGCCTAGCATGTCCCCTGAGCACTACCAGGAGTAATTCCTGAGTGCACAGCCAGGAGCAACCCCTGAACATTATCAGATGTGCCCCCTCCCCAAAAAAAAACAAACTAAATTAATAATTTTTAAGTCTACAGAACACTGAGCTAAATTTAGACCAACCAAATAGTACCATATTTATAGTAGAACTAGTAGACTACTGGACACTGGTGAAGGGATTGGTGTTGAATAATGTATATCGAAATTCAATCATAAATACCTTGTAACTCTGTAAAAAAATAAAACTTAAAAAAAATACTAGCAGAGCTAAGAAATAGTGCAGGAGTTAAGCTTGCCTTGCACCTCCCAATCCTCAGTCATCAAAAACCTGAGGGCTACCTGGTATGACCCCCAAGCTCTCCCCCTCCCCCAAAAAATTAAAACTTAACTAAGAGGGACTGGAGCAATGTACCGCGGGTGGGGCCTCACACACGGTCAACCTGGGTTCGATCCCCGGCATCCCAGGAGTTACTCCAAGCACCACCAGGAGTAATTCCCAAATGCAGAGCCAGGAGTAATGCCTGAGCATCGCTGGGTATGACTCAAAAGAGGGGGGGGGGGGGAGGGGGAATCAAATAAAAATTTAAAAAATTTAAAAAATAAAAATAAAAATTAATGAAGATTGAAGCAGGCCATTTGGAATCGCTTACATAAGTTATGGAAAAAGAAAATCTTAAGGATTTGTGTATTTTTTTTTATTTAGGGGCCTGCATATTCATTTTTAATCTTTTTAACCACCGTGATATGTAGGGACTATGCAATGTACTCCCAAATTCACATTTCCATCAAAAACCTCTGAGCTCAAAAACCTCTGAGGAGGTTAAATTGCTCCGTGATGTAAAGAATGACCTCACTCCTTTCGCAGCACACACCCTCCCCCATGCCCCCCTAAAGGCTCACGGCCCTGCAAATCATTCAGCCCCACAGAGCCAAAATCGTAGTAATTCCCTTGGACTCCTCTGCCACGCCCCGTACCCAACACCAAGTCCCACTTATTCCTCCGATCTCCAGAATCTGCTCGAGGCCTCCATCCTTCCAGGCCCCCCATCCACCCGAGTGGCCCTCTGCCCGTCTCTCCTCCAACCAGCTGACAGGAAAAGGCCTGAGGTGGTAAGTCGGCTCCCCGCAAACACACCCTCCTATCCCCACTCCCCGCTCCACAAATCTCTCGGTGGGGAAGGCTTGCAGCGAGGCGCGGCGGCAGCGCCTCCGGGGCCCCGTCACGCAAGATCCCGCCAACTCCGTGTGGACCTGGAGCGCGGCACGAAACGGAAGCGCCCCCCGCCACCGGCGGCCCTCCGGGCGGCTGCACCCCGGGGCCTCCCCGCCGCTCTCGGCCCCTCGTTCCCAGGCCCCTCGGCAGACCGCGGCTTAACAGGTGGTCCCCGCCTGACTCAAACTCTGGGGCGCGGGAACCCGTGAAACCCTCGTCTCTGCCCAGAATCGATCTGCGGAACGATGACGGGGGAGGCCCAGTTCCTAGCCAGGAACCCGAGTACCTGGACGTCTCCTGACTTCGTCTCCGCCTCTCTCAGGGAAGACGCCCCGGGTCCTAGGCGGCACGACCCGTTGGGCCGAGACACGTCGGCCGCCTCAGCCCGGGAGGAGACCCTCTGGAGGCTGAGGGCCACGGCTGTTGGACGGACCCCTGGCAGGGCCCGGCCCACGGCTGGACACAGCAGGCGCTGCGTGAGGAAATCAGCCATCGAAGGCCCCAAGTGGCTGCTGAGACCTTCCCTCTCCCGCCCCCAAACTCGGCGTCGGTCGAGAATCGAAACGCTGGTTCCCTACTAGAGCTAGAAACTGGGAGGGGGCGTCACTACCCGCTGCCAACAGACCTTTAGCTCAGAGACGCTAGGCTTCGACCCTACGAGTCAGACACCGCCTCCACAGCCCGCGGCCAACCACCCCCGAGACGCCTGGTACCTTACCCGGCTTCAACTCCGGGTCTCAGCAACGCTGCAGTGCGCGAAACGCCAAACCCAGTCAGCGCGCTTTCACCCACAAGACCCAGCGCGCTGGGGCGGGACTCAGCTCCCTCCGCCAATCCTGGGATCGTACTCGCGTGACATCACAGCAAGATGGCCAATAACAGGAGGCGATATGGAGGGCGGTGCAGAAGGGAAATCTTAGAAGTCGATTGGGTTTCCCAAGCCGGAAGTTCGTGAGGAAACGCTACATCGGAGCCAATCGGGTGTTACCGGAAGGTGGCGGCGCGGTTAGTGGCGGCGCTGAGGAGAGCGGTTGCCGCCATGATAGAACAGCAGAAGCGTAAGGGCCCAGAATTGCCGCTGGTCCCAGTCAAGCGACCGCGGCATGAATTGCTGTTGGGAGCGGCGGGGTCGGGCCCCGGAGCGGGCCAGCAGCAGGCGGCGCCGGGAGCTTTGTTGCAAGCAGTAAGTGAAGTAGCAGGAGCCTCTGGGCCCTCATCTCATCCTCTCTCCCTGCCCTGGGCCCTTTCCCCGCAGTGCGGGGCGGCGGAATGAGGCTGTAACCCGGACTTAAAGTTTTATCAAACACCAAAGTGCCTGACACCCGGCGCCTCTTTCATCACGTTTCCCGGCTTCAGACCTGTCGCCCACCCTGGGAGTTGGCGATCGAGTAGTTTTAGGGCAGTGAGTTCAAAATCTCCGTCCGCGCTTTCGCGTCCCCACACTTGCCGGGGAGCCGGCATAAAACCAGCGCTGGGACACGTTAGTGGAGCGGAGGGAGGAAGAGGCAGGGGAGGAAGGAAATGAATGGATGGATGGGCCTGGGACGGCGGGCAGGTTGCCAGACCGGGCGTGAAGAGCAGCGCGTAATTGCTGACAATCGTCGAGCCGCCTCCCCAAGTGCTTTGGTTGTGACAACTTAGGTTGTTCGGCAACAGCTTAAGAATTAGCAACGGTTACAGTTCCACTTTGTGGATGGACTTCCCAGATGAACGAACGGGAAACGTTTTAAGCCAGGGTGCGTGCTCCTCGGGCACCCGTTGCTCAGCGTAGGCGGCGATCACACGCCTGGGTGCAAGGGGAAGCCTGTGTCCAGTGCCCCAAATTAAACACAGACTTGTCCGGTCCCCCTCCCTCCAGTCTGCATCGTTCTGCTTCCACGCTCCCGGCGCGATCTCACTCCCGTTTCTCTTCGCGGTGGTCTTGTCTGTCAATCCTGCAGCTGGAGGAATCACACCCCGTGACTGTCGGACGAGCCCATTTCTGCCTGTGCTCTTTCCCGTTCCCTCGCTGATCTACTCATTTTTCTTTGCCCTCCCTGTTCCGGTCACACTTCCCACCCCCAAACTTAACCTTGACTGCTCCTTACACTGGAAAATGCGCTTTTTAAAAATTTTTCCTATGAATTTTATACGCTCCTTCAAATCTTCCCTCAACTATTCTTTTTCAATATGGCCTTTGCTGATCCCTCCTTTTTGAAATTGGAATAACCACATTCCTGCTTTGTTTCTTTCCCAAGAATGTATAACTATATGTTTTTTCTTCTCTCCACAGTCCTATTATCCTCCACTTTCCCACTAGAACACAAACTGTTTATTTTGTTCAGTGCTACTTGAACAGTGCCTGACACATTATTTTGAGGAGGGTGATTTTAGAACCACACCCAGTGGAGCTCAGGACTTATTTTTGGTTCATTGCCCAGGATCACTCCTGGCTGTGTGCAGGGGGACCATATGTGTGCTGGGAATTGAACACAGGTTGGCCCTGTGCAAGGCAAGAGCCCTGCCCACTGTACTCCAGGCTTGAAGATGGTAATTTTTTAATAAATGAAAGCAACTAGAAACTCCTGACACAAGTTGGTGATTATGATAGTCTACTTCTGTCTGACAAGTAAAAAGATTTGCCCAAATTTTGGTGAATTTCCAAGTCTCGATGACCAAAACTATATTCCTAAATAATTTGTACCCTGTAGGGTTGTTGTTAGACAGTTTCATTATTCGTTCAGTAGATGAGCAGAAGACTAAAAAATAGTATTTAATGATGGGAGGAGTCCCTGCATTTGCATATCTTTTTTCTCATTGAGGAAAAGAAAATATATAAATAGGCTCAGGGATGTAGCTCAGCAGTAAGGTGCCTGTCTTATATGGGTGGGTCCCTGTGTTTAATCCCTGCCATTGCAAAAATAAATGCTCTGAGGAAATATCACTATATCACTGTCGTCCCGTTGTTCATCGATTTACTCGAGCGGATGTCAGTAATGTCTCCATTCGTCCCAGCTCTGAGATTTTAGCAGCCACTCCTTACTCGTCTTTTCCAATGGTGAGGAAATACAGAAGCACTAATAGAATACAGAAAGAAGATGGGATACTTCTTGAGTTTGATGAAACTACCAGATGAACCAACAGTGAAGCAAAGAATTTCTGAATTAAAACATTTGAAAGGACTCATACTGGAAGGTACAGATTGGTCTGTCAGGGGTAATGACAAGTGTAAAAATCTTGAGGCAGGAAATGTGTTTGAATATACTTAATTAGAAGTAAGCTAGGGGACAGTAGTAGAGTGAGGAGAATTAGTGCAAAAAAACAGACTAAAAACTTCAGCCGGTCAGTATTTCAAATTAAATGTAATGAATAATTTGGGGAGTTATTCTCTAAATCAGGAGACATTCGTTAATTTTCAAACCCTTATCTTTTCCTCTATAGCCACTCTAATCTTGCACACCACCACCTCCCCTCAGTTTTGCAACTGTGCCTTGGTATGACAACTACTATGTACTTAATTTTTTCTCTGTACTTATCTCTTTTGTTTAGGGACCTCCGAGATGTTCCTCTCTTCAAGCCCCAATCATGCTTCTTTCAGGACACGAGGGAGAAGTATATTGCTGCAAATTTCACCCCAATGGATCCACCTTAGCATCAGCAGGATTTGACCGACTAATATGTAAGTTAGTTTATGAATTAGTTTTAATTTTTAGTTTAAAGTAATTGCTTCCTAATTCACTGCTGTGCCCCACCTTCAACCCCTGCTTTTGGGCCACACCCAGTTGTGCTCTGGGCTTATTGTCGGCCCTATGCTTAGGGATCACTTTAGGCAAGGCTTGGGGGACCATATGTGGTGCCAGGAATTGAATCCTGGTTGGTCACATGCAAGCACTATGCCCACGGTACTATCTTTCCGGCTCTTGAAGTGATTGCTTTTTGCCAGTGATTTTTTTTTTTTAAGTTTTCAGTGACTAGAAAGTATCGGTCTGAGTAACAACAAATTGTTTAGCTAACATGCTATAATGGGGACATGAAAATGCTGAAAGTCTTAGATGTTGAACTTGGGTTCATGTTGTGATAAGAGTTTTGTTAAATTTCTGAGTAATGAGTGAATTGTTCTAGTTTGAGAATCTCTTTTTCATGGAGTCAAGTTCTGAACCAGTAAGTCAAACAGAAGATCTTGGCCAAGCAGGCTAAGGAGAACAGTGGGAAAATAGATAATAAGAGAGAGATATCCTAAAGTGGCAATTCTCTAGGTACGTATACGTATTCCTGTATACGTCATTCTTAGCTAGTAATCAAGAGCAGCCATTTTAGTAGAAAAAATCACTTTGGGGAATGGCAAAAGAGATAATAGAAGCAACTGATAAGTTTTTCTTTTGGTATAACTTGCCCCGTTGTGAACTGAAAAGAGTCCTTTGACTCTTTGCAATGTATAATAGTATTTTCACTGACCTTTTTGACACAAGTGTTCTGTGATCCTTAGATATTCTTTAGTCCTTAAACTTACTGGTGGCCAAACATCTGGAAGGCTTAGGATACTTTGCAAAATATTCTTGATTCATTGATATTCTTAATTTTATAAAAACTAGAAACTTTATCAAATAAATAACGGCTGTCCATATAGCCCTTATTATGTATATAGTGTTCCTTAATAATGCTCGTCAAACCACTCCTTACTTGAACAAGCTACTTCACTGAGTAATTGTTTATTCACCTACCTCATTTAACCCCAGGTACTGAGGTACATAATACCTATAATAGGTACATAGTTCTCAGGAGATGAGTATTTGTAGTATAATATCTTTGCCGTGCAACTTTCAAGTCAGTTGTGGTTTCCTATGTTATACATCATTTTTTAATCTGCTTATATTCATAGGCAAATAGAGTGCCAATTTTTCAAAATTATAGAAGATATCTCAAGATGTAAAAAAAAAAGCATGTCCATTAACTAATTTTTTTTTAACTTATGGAATGTGATTTTTGTCTGCTTTCAGTATCAGGAAAATTACTTGGTATAATCAGTAATATAGTGTTAAATGGCAGTCTAGTTTCAGAACTTTTGTTGGTAAATTCCTCAGTAGCCTTTTCATGACCAGTGATGAGTTTTCTTTTGCCTAGCAATACTCACAGAATCCCTGTGTCCCTTACAGTATTATGGAATGTCTACGGTGACTGTGATAACTATGCCACACTGAAGGGGCACAGTGGAGCAGTGATGGAACTGCATTATAACACAGATGGCAGGTGAGTATTCTACAGGATAGAATGACAGCTGCTTCTCTAATTCTTATTATCCTTTCACAATTTATCCTTTTGTTTATTCTCAAATATATACACACATATTTTATATATATATGTACACATACACATATATTTGAGGTCAGAGAGAGTGCATCAGGTAAGACCCTTGCCTTGCACACAGCAGACCCATTTGATCCTTGTCATCACATATGGTACCCTAAGCACAGAGCCAGGAGTAAGCCTGAGCATCACCAGGTGTGACCCAAAAAACAGAACAAAAACATGTCAAACAGAGCTTATTTGGAGCAGTTGCTGCACTATCCTCTTGTCACCCCCAAGTAACATATTTATTGTTCTAAGTTTGTGTTTGTAAATACATTATCTCTATAATATTATGGCCCGGATAAGTTTACTGCATAAAACAATCTGATTTTATTGTTTTCAATAAGCTATTTTTGCTTTAAAAGTTTTTTTTTAAAACATAGGAAAGTAACCATATTTCTTTCATTCTGAAGATGATTGTGATTTTTTTTTGGAGCCTTTTGCATATTTAACACTGGTTGGTTTATTGCATATGTGTAAGATTATAGTTTGAGTACGATCGTGTTTGCTGCTTTCCCCCTAACAGTATTCATTAACATATTTACTTAGCATTGCACATTGTCTGTCATAGATAAATTATTGCATAATTTTGGTCATTTGGAAATACGGTTATAAAAGTAATTCTTTCCATTAACATTTTGTTAGACATTCATTATTTTCTACCTCTTGCCTCTAGAATTTAGGATTTCCTGGGTCAATTGTATACATTTTTCCTACTGGTTAAAGAAAACATTATAAAAGCAAATATAATTTAGAAATTATCCTCAGAAACAAGAGATTTTTCTTTTAAGAGAAATGGTTTGAATTGCTCGGCCTTTGGGTTAGGAATTGTAACTTCTGCAGCAAGGAGTGATTAAAGCTACCTTATATATAAACTGTTATCTATCACAGAGGAAAATGCTGAGAAAAATTGCTGTATTTGATGTATGTCGTGAAGATTCATGGAAGGAAATACATATAAATGTATGTTATATATCAAAAAATAGACCCTGGTTCTAAACTGGTTCTAAAATAACAGGATTCTGTAAAGAAAGGTGAGGTGTATTTTTCTAGTATTTATATCCCAGGTTGTCAGAGTATAACATCTTGGCGATCTTGGACATTTTGCCAAGTATAAAGATAGGTTGATATATTGTTTGTCTTCACGTATTTCTTTTTGTTCTTCCTCTTACCTTCTAGTATGCTCTTCTCAGCATCAACAGATAAAACTGTGGCAGTATGGGACAGTGAAACAGGTGAAAGGGTTAAAAGGCTGAAGGGACATACTTCCTTTGTGAATTCCTGTTACCCGGCCAGGAGGGGCCCTCAGCTTGTCTGCACTGGCAGTGACGATGGTACAGTTAAGGTGGGTGTTGACTATGTGAATTGCAGTTTTTGAGGTGACACATAATGAAACCTGGGAATCTGTTCTGCAATCTCCTTTCCACAACTTTGTTTTTAACACTTGTCTTTAGATTGTGTGGGATAAGGGGGGTGGAGGGACTTGGGCCTCTACCTAGTGTTTCTTAGGATTTGCTTGTGCCTCTGTGCTCAGGAAGTGATCCCTGGCCATGCTCCAGGGACCATAGGTAGTGCCAGTTATTCAAACTGGGGTTTGCCACATGCAGGGCAACCACCTTGCCTCTTACGCTCTCTCCAGCCCCCCACCTTTTTTTTCCCTCTCTTTTTCTTTCTCTCTTTATTTTCACTTTTTTGGGTTTCAGGGGCCACACCTGGTGGTGCTCAGAGCTTACTCCAGCAGCACTCAGCACAAAACATATCAGAACAAAACATGAACCAGGCTCCGCCACAGGCAAGGCAAGTGCCGATCCCCTGTGCTATCTCTTGGCCTGTTTTAGCACTTTAAAATAAAGATAATAGCCCCAAAACTGAAAATAAATAATGCGGGTATTTTAAATGTATTACAGAACAATATTTGAGCCATATTGAGCTTTTTTGACTTCAAATAAATCACCTGAACTATGTTCTTAGCTCAGTTATCTACTTAATTGTGTGACCTTGGGCAGTTTGCTTCTCTGATCGTCAGTTTTTTAGTCTTTCAAGTAGCAGTTGACATATTCATGCCTTACAGAGCTTTTGTGAAGTGATAGAAAATGTATTTTAATTTAAAAGCTCAAATACATGGTTTTAGTAAAATAGGGTGGTATCCTAAAGGTCATTTAGTGCAGTGTTTCTCAACTTTTTCCTGACCATCATCCTCCATTTGGCTTCCTGGTCTCATGCCTACTCCATCTACATGATTTTTTTTTCTGTCTTTCTTTCTTTTTGGGTCACACTGGGCAATGCACAGGGTTTACTCCTGGCTCATGCACTCAGGAATTATTCCTCACGGTACTCAGGGGACCATATGAGATGCTGGGAATCAACCCGGGTCGGCTGCATGCAAGGCAAATCCACTGTGCTATCACTCCAGCCCCAATCTACATGGTTTTTATCTATGTTCTCTGGACTAGGGGACCCACAGATAGCTATGTGAACCCAGTTGAAAAATGCTGATTTAGTTCAACAATTAGAATCATAAGGAAAAACCTATTAAAAACACCAAGATTCTATTTCCCTAGTTCTGGAGTGGAGATTTTTACTATTACTAAGACTTTATACAGGTGTGGGGTTAGGGGATAATTGGGTCACATATTTGGTAGTACTTGGGGACTACTCCTGCAGATCACTCAAAGCAGTGCTTAGAGGAAGCCATGATATCAGGGATTGAATTGGGCTTTTTTAGGTTCATGGTAAGTTAACTTGAGGTACAGAGCTTTTCCCTATGTCATTGTCTCAGGTACATCATGCATAAAATCACCCTCAACCTCCCCTAACTATTAGTACTTCCCACCAGAGCAGTAAACTTGTTAGTCTTTATTGATGAACCTACATCAATACATCCTAGGTACCCAAATATATATATATATATATTCTATGCATTTGAACAAATGTATAAGGACACATGTATCACTATAGTATCATAAAGTAATTTCATTGCCCTGAATGTGTGCAGTGATTGTTTTGCCTTTTCCATAGTTCTATCATTTAGCTTTTGCACATTGGCTTTGTTTTTATCTTGGGCCACACCCAGCAGTATTCAGGGCTTATACCTGGCTCTGCACTGAGGATCACTCCTAACGAGGCTTGGAGGGGTTTGTGGGGTTCCTGTGGCCAAACCTAGATCAGCCCTGTGCAAGGCAAGCATCTTGCCAGCTTTACAGTATCTCCCTGCGCGCCCTGCACCCCCCAGATTGACTTCTTATATTCTTCCACTTCTGTCTTGAAATTCCTCTGGTGCAAAATAATCATCCATTTTCTAGATGTATGTGTGTATCTGTTGCTTCCAGGAGCTAACATTTACAAATAAAGCTGCTGTAAACAGCTGTGTGCGGCTTTTTATGTGGATGAAAGTTTCTTCCTTTAGTATGACCCCAAGGAGCATAATGATGGTATGGCAAAGTATATTTTTATAATAACTCACCAGATTGTCAATCAAGATGATTTGTGGTTTTGCTTCCCTAACTAAATGAAGGAAGAATGAGAGTCCCTGTTCAGTTCTTTATATCAGTTGTATCTTTTGCAAATATTGTCTTCCAGTCTGCAACTTATCTTCTTAGCCTCTTAGTATTTTCTTTTGCCATTGCGGGGGGGAGGTGGGGGGCGAGGGGCAGGGCAGGGGGTGTTTGGGTTTTTTTGGGGGGGGGGCATACCTGGGGTACTCAGGACTTCTGACTCTGTACTCAGGAATCCTGGTGGTGCTTGGGTGGACCATCTGGAGTGCCAGAAATCAAACCTGGGTTGATTCCTGATGCAAAACAAGCTGTACTATCACTCCAGCCCCTCTTTCACCATTTTTTAATTTTAATGAAGACCAACTTATTATTTCTTTCATGAACTGTTCTTTTACTCTTTTATCTTAAAAATCATCACCATTCCCAGAGTCTTTTAGGTTTTTTTTCCCTATGGTTACCTTCTTGGAGTTTCAGATTCAAAATCTGTGATCGATTTTTAGTTAGTTCTTTTGAACAGTGTAAGATCTATGTCTAACTTAATTTTTATGCATATGAATGTCCAATTCAGTACCATTTGTTGAAGAAACTATACTTCATTCCTTAATCATAAATCATTTGACAGTGTTTATTGGGGTGTATTTCTGGGCTGTTTATTCCCTTCCATTGTTCTTTCACTAATGCCACACTGTACTGTGTCTAATTAGTCTTATTTTGATATGGTTTGAGGATTATACCTGGCAGTGCTCAGGGTATACTCCTGCTGACTCTGTGTTAATGGATCAGTTCCTGGTGGTGCTTGAGGTATCATGTGTAATGCCATAGATTTGAACCCAGGTCACCTATGTGCAAGGCAAGCACTCCTCACTTAAGCCCATTGTCTTACTTCCTGTAAATTTATAATAATCATGAAGTCAAATAGTATCAGTTTTTCAGTTGTATGGTATTTCAATATCTTACTAAGAATTTTTTTCTTTTTGCTTCTCCATATAAAATACACAAAATAACATGCTTTTTTTTTTTTTTTGAGTTTGGGGGTTTTTGTTTGGTTGATGGTTTTGTGGTCAAACCCAGCTCTGCTCACAGATTACTCCTATTGGTGTTTGATAGAGTATTGGGTGCCTGGGATTGAACCAGGGGCTCCCATGTGCAAAGCATGTATTTTAACCCTTTGAACCATCTCCCTAGACCCACTTTACAGTAATTTTGGTTTTGGTTACATGTGAATCTGAATTTAAACATCAGTTTGGGAGGAATTGACATTTGGGTGGGGTACACCTGGTGGTGCTCAGAGGCCACTGATGGCTCTGTGCTCAGAGACATGTCTGGTAATGCTCTGGAACCATATGTGGTCCCAGGGATTCAAACCATGTTTGCAGTGATAGTGTATACACATTAGCCTCTGTGTTACCTCTCTAGCAAGAATGTTGACCTCTATTATTTCTGGACAAGAGTTAACATTTTTATGATATTAAATTACTAAGTCTTTGAATACGGAATATCTCCATTTTTAAAAAATTAATCCTTATTTTGTTCATTCCAGTTTTGGGTGGAGGAGTTTGGTTTTTCTGGTTTGGGGCCATTACTGGCAATGCTCAAAGGTTATTCCTGGCTCTGCCTTCAGGCAGAGGGAGCTTGGAAGTGCTCGGAGACCAAATGGGATGCCAGAGATAAAACCCAGGTCAACCATGTGTGAAACAAACATCATCCCTGCTATACTATGACCCATTCATTCCAATTCTGAAGTTGTCCTTATGTAAATCTTGTACATGTTTGTTTGTTTGTTTGTTTTAACCTCTGGGCCAGGAATATAGCTCAGTGGTAAGTGCACATCTTGTATGTGTGAATCACTGGGTTTGATTCCTGGCATCACAAAACAAAAACAAAACACTATCCTCCCGTTGTTCATCCATTTGCTCGAGCGGGCCCAGTAACGTCTCCAGTTTTTTGAGACTTGCTGTTGCTGTGTTTGGCATATTGAATACGTCACAGGTAGCTTGCCAGGCTTTGCCATGCGGGCGAGATACTCTCGGTATCTTGCTGGGCTCTCCGAGAGGGCCGGAGGAATCGAGCTGGCTGCATGCAAAACAAATGCCCTACCGCTGTGATATTGCTCCAGCCACATCACAAAAAAAAAATTTTTTTTGAATGCTCATGTAAATGGTACTGTGTTTTAAGAATCATTGGGAGGCCAAGGTGGGGCTACGACTCAACAGTAAACTACCTTCTTTGAATGCATGACATCTTGATACCTCAAACACCCAACACCTCAAATAAAACATCTCAGAAAACACCCAACAGTAGAAAAAATCATTTTTAAACATGGTAATTTATTGGGGTTTGTTCAGTTTTGGGTTTGGGGGCCACCTGATAGTACTGAGGGATAATTCCTATTGCTGCTTGAGGGAAACCATGTGTATTGCTGGAGATCAAGCCAGGGTTGGCAACCTGCAAGGCAAATGCCGTACCCCATTATGTCCCTAGCCTAATGTTGGTTTTTCTAAGGGGAAAAAAAGGCATTTTGCTTTTTTTGCTTTTTTAATTGTCAGTGTTCTAAATAACAGATTTCAGGGGCCTGAGAGACAGTAGAGCCTGTAAGGCGCTTGCCTTGCACACTGCCAACTCAAGTTCAATTCCTTGATTCCCTTATGGTCCCTCAAGCACTGCCAAGAGGGATTTCCTGAGTGCAAAGCAAAGAGTAACCTCTGAGCATGGCAGGGTGTCACCCTAAAACAAAAACAAACAGAAAGCTGTGGTTTCAAATGACCCGTGTATTTTCAGTAAAGTAATATTTGGGGCATTATCTGTACTAGTAGCTTTCGAGCTATTTTGGTAAATTCCTCCTAAAAAAATACAATATAGTGTAATATAGATTATATTTCAGTGAAATCCAATATATCTATATATACGGTTCATTTTCATTGCAGTTAATTCTCAGGGTGTTGCATAGACAAAAGAGGATATTTTTATTTGTTTTTTGGTTTGGTTTGGTGTTTTTCTCAGGGGAAGGGGGGTTTGGACGACACCTGGCAATGCTCAGGGATTGCTCTGCACTCAGGGATCACTCCTGGAGGTGTGATCTAAGGGAACTGTATGGAAGACTGGGAACCAAACCAGGGTTGCTGTATGCAAGGCAAACCACCCTACCTGCTGTACTATAGTTCTGGCTCCATATAGAGGGTGTTTAGAGGTAGGGTGGGTGAATGTTGCTCAGCATGGATGTCAGAGCTACACTGAGACAGAATGTGTACACAGGACAGAGATAGCCCATTGCAACACAGGACAAGTAGCCCAGTGTGGGAGAGTGGCGGGTGAAGAAGGGTACGCATCCTGGTCCTGACTAGGTAAAAGGCCATCTACATTCTGGGACTCAGAACTTGAGCTGAGGCTGCCCACATGGTGGGGAAATGATTAACAAAGTCTGAGCTTAGGATCAGCATGACTCTCTGAACAAAGGCAACTTAGACAAGGATACTAGTCAGAGCAGGATATAGAGGGCATTCACACAGAGGGTCAAGAACAGTAAGAAAGGAGAATTAGAACATAGAGAAAAGGACATCCTTGTAAGGGAATGAGAGGGTCGGAGAGGATATGAAAAATTGGCAGTACATACAGCTTTGATCAAATTAATATAGTTATAATGAAGGCACATTTCTCAATGTCAGTTAATGGATGCCAATACAGAAAAAGGAAACTTTCAGTATATAAATAAATTGGTTGAAGAGAATAAAAATGAGTCTTTGTATGTAATTTTGTCTGTGTACCTTAGTATTTAAGGTCTAACTATCCACTGAAAAGGTTTAGGTAGAGGCCGGAGCGATAGTACAGCGAGTAGCGTGTTTGCCTTGCATGCGTCTGACCTGAGTTCAATCCCTGGCATCCCATATAGTCCCCCGAGCACCGCCAGTAGTAATTCCTGAGTGCAGAGCCAGGAGTAACCCCTGAGCATCTCTGGGTATGACCCAAAAAAAGAAAAAAAGGTTTAGGTAGACTGCCACCCCAATCCCCAACAACAAGAAACACATTTACTACTAGATGTGCAGTTCTTGGCCTTTTAATAGTTTTCTAATAAAAAGAACCAGTGCTCCTTATTTCAGGCCTGGACAAAGAAAGTACAAAATGAGCCTGGAACATCTTGTGCAAGAAGGCTTGTCCAGAGAACATCTTGATTAAATGACCAAACTAAATGTTACTGGTAATGAGAAAAATCAGAATTGTGAGCCATTTGATAGGACACAATGAAAATGTAGTATCTTGTAATTGGTATTCCTGCCAAACGTACATAAATTGAATCTAATCATGAGGAAACATCAATCAACTACAAATTAACAGTAATAGTCCTGTGACTATTATATGAGAAATGTCAAGGTTATTAAATTCATGCAAAGTATGAGAAATTCCTCCAAGCTAAAAGAGACTAAAGAAACATACTAGCTTAATTCAACAAAAATATAAAATTATTTTGTGTGTAAAAATTATATATGAATTTTTTAATTAAATTTATGGTATTGGTAACTTCATGGGGAGTAGGCCACACCCAGCAGTGCTTAGGACTTAACTCCTTGTTCTGGGTTACACCTGGTGATGTTCAGAGGAATATATGAGGTGCCAAGGATTGAACCGTATCCAGTTGCATGCAAGGCAGCTATACCCTGAGTTTGTAGTTTTTATTGTCTTATTTTAATCACTTGTGATTCTGCTGGCATTCCAAAAAATGACTTTTTTTTTTAATGCCTGGAACATTATATGACTGAAACACAATCATGAACGATTTTGTAGTGCTCTGTCTCATGATGATTTAAAAAATAAATTAAAAAAAAATTTTTTTTAATGCTTTGCCTGGGGCTGGAGAGAGGTAGTACAATGGTCAGAGCACATGTCCGAACTGGATTGGATCACCCAGCACTATATATGCTCCTTCAAACCCACCAGGAATGATTCCTAAGTGCAGAGCTAGAAGTAAGCCCTAAGTACAGCCACGTGTAGCCCAGAAACAAGTCCAAAAAACAGAAATAAAATTGTTTTGCCAAATCCAAGATTTCTTGGAATTTTATTATTTTAGTAATAGTATAGCTTCAAAGACCTGACTGAGTAGGATACTTGCTTTTCATTCAGCATGCGCAGGTTTGACCCTTGATACCACGTATGTTCTCCCGAGCACTGCCAAGAGTGATACTTGAGTGTAGAACCAGGAATAAGCCCTTAGTACCACTGGATGTGGCCCAAACTCCACTTCCCCCTATCTCCCACCAAAAATAAAAAAAAATTTTTATACTAGCTTTTACATTTAGGTCTTTGATCTCTTATGTTGATTTTTTTTGTTTTTTTTGAAAGAAGATTGTTTTCATTGAAATTTTCTTATTTAGAAAATGTGAGGGAAGAGTCTGGAGCTTAATATAGCAGTTGGGGTTTTTGCGGTGCCTGTGATCAACCTGGATTTTATCCCTGGTACTCCTTATGTTAAGGTGAACCTGCCTGCAGTATTCCAAGAAGTGAGAGATTAGGACTTGCTCACATCTTAAGTATATCCCTAGCCATAGCCCTATGCGTGGGTTTCTGGGAAAATATCAGAGCTTTTCAAAATTCTTTGTCTCCAAATTTTCTCATTCTCCAGCCTTTCGCCCCCAATTTTTTTATTTGTCTATTCTTTACCTCAGATGTTATACCTTGCGTCTGCTCTGAGAGAGTCCATATTAAACAGTAAATGCAGACCTCTTGAGGTTATCCTTTCAGAGCTTCAGAGAGATTAAAAATAAACCAACTACAATTCTTTGAGAAAAATAATAAGGTCTAGTCTGCTTCCTCTGGCAATAGAAATGTGGATTGTGTATTGCTGAAAAAAGGCTGGAACCCCAGAGTAAATTAAAAGATTATAAAGAGTTCTTACTACGATTCAGAGTGCTCATTAAATGTTAGTCTGCTAGGGTGGCAGAGACATAGTACAGTGGATAGTTCTCTTGCTTTGCCTGTGCCTGACCAGTTTTGATCTCTCTTCATCCCATATGGCCCTTCAAGCCCTTCCATGTGTGATCCCTGAAATCAGTAAACTCTGAGGTGTGGTCCGAAAACCTAAATAAATAAATGTTTGTCTGAAAATATGATGCAAACAATTTGTTCCTACAGCCTTCGAATGTTTTGGTAAATCCTCACTTGCCATGGTATTTCAGTTGTCCAGACAAGTTTTTGAACTGGGATGGGACCTAGGTTAGAGGTGTGTTCACTACTACATTGGACTTAGAAGTATCCCATATAATTCTTAAGTTAGTAGACTCTTTTGTTTCTCTCTTTCAGCTTTGGGACATTAGGAAGAAAGCAGCGATCCAGACATTTCAGAATACCTACCAGGTGTTAGCTGTGACGTTCAATGACACAAGCGATCAGATTATTTCTGGTGGAATAGACAATGATATCAAGGTATGTTTGTTATTTATGTTATGTTCCCTGTCACCTAACTCCACTCACCTTTTTAAGCTTCTGATACTGTGGTTGATTTACACTTAATACTAAATAAAAAGAGATATGATAGTACAGCAGATAGGGTGCTTGTCTTGAACACACAACCTACCTGGGTTCTATTGTATAAGAAGTGTGAGAAGGGACTGGAGCAATAGTACAGCTTGTAGGGTGTTTACCTTGCACACGGCTGACCCAGGTTCGATTCCCAGCATCCCATATGGTCCCCCAAGCACCGCCAGAAGTAATTTCTGAGCGAGAGCCAGGAGTAACACCTGAGCATCGCCAGGTGTAACGCCAAAAAAAAAAAAGTGTGAGAAGGAAATAGGGGACCATTAGAATTCCATCTTTCCTCTGTTTAGCAACTTCATTTTCACATGTTTAGTGGAATGTAAATGACCTGGACTCAGAAGGACTGTATAATTGAAAAAATAGGGCTTTTTTTTTTTTTTCAAACTTAGAAAAGTTTATTGAAAAGTAGAAAAGAAAGGAAACTTCCCAGGTGGAAGTTCTTAGTAATTCTGAACTTCTGAGTTCAGAAGACTCAATCAGAAATAGATTGAGAAAATATTTAACCTGTAAGGGACTAGACATTTAGTCCATCCTTCTTAATTTTCAGATGATTATAATGAATGCACTAAGAAATCTACATTAGGAGATATCCTGAGAGAACCTAATGTACTAATGCTATCCTGTGACTTGTCAAACAAGTGCTCAAGATCAGTAAGCTACTATGAGCTTATAAGGTACTTGTTGGACTGCAGAAATAGCGCCACAGGATGGAGTGCATTCATTGCTTGCAGGAGACCCGAGTTCCATCCCCAGCACTGTATGGTCCCCTAAAAGTTACAGACTGGAGGCAATATGGAGTAGCCTCTCAGCACCAGTAGTTGTGGTCCAAAAAAACATGAATTGGTAGGGCCAGGGACACATAACACATACCTTAAGTTTTATCCCTGAAATGGTGTGGCCACCCCTCTACCCCTGAATCAGTGGGCCTCATCACTGAACCATCAGGCCTTCACTGCTCTTGAGTATTGTTAATAGTGAACTCAAGTCCTCTGAACACTACTGGGGAAGACCCTCCCCAAGAAATTAAAATAAGTTAAATCTCCATTGAGGGGACCTAAAAAAGTAGCTCAAGTAGTGTTACCTGCCTTAAGGCATAGACACTTCAATTTCCAGCACCATCCCACATCACAAAGTGTGATCCAGGTTGCACTGACATTGTGATCCTCAGAACCACAATTAGAGTGTGAACCTCTGACATGACAACAATGAAGAGAAAAGGCAAACATTTTTTTCATGATGGCGAAGGGCCAGTACACATGCTTTGCATGTCAAGACTCATATTCAGTCCTTTATAGAGCATGGTCCACTTGAGTAATGAAAGTGGTAGCCTCCAAAACTGACAGGTATGACCCCAAAACACATCCAAAGGATTTTTTTTTTTTAGCTGAACAAATTCTATATATGTTTGTGAATAGAAACATTCTACTGTTTGTAGAAAGCTTGTATTTTCTTACTAGAAATAAGATCAAGGAATTAGAGGAAGAGGAATAAAAAAACAAAATGTGCCTTTGCTTAGTGTCTTAATGGTCTGATTGACAGTGTTTTGGCATTTCCTGTAATCCTAGAATAGGATTTACATTCTAGTCAGAATGAGAGTTTGGTTGATATTTGGGGGGAGGGGGGTGTATTTCCCTTACAGTACTCAAGAGGTTCAGGGACCCACTGTCAAGTCTTGGCCAACCTGGCCAAGGGACCCATAAATGTGTTAGTCCTTAGGCCCTTTAGTACTGGGATATCAGGTCACACCTAGCAATGCTTGGGGATCATGTGCCAAGAATTGAACCCAGATTGCCTGCGTGTTAGGCATATGCCCTAACCGCTATATCTGGCCCTAAATTTATATATACATACACATTTCGGTTTTGGGGCCGCATTCACTGGGTGCCCAGGGTTTATTTCTGGCTCTACTCTCAGGAATCAATCCTGGTAGGCTCAGGACCATATGGGGGTGCCAGGGATCAAATACTGTTTGACTGTAAAGCACTTTCCCTACTCAGTATACTGTCACTCCATCTCCCCAATTGTATTTTTTAATGTAATGATTAAAGGGATAAAATAGATTTTTGCTGATATCTTGGACTCATATCTCTTTGTTATCTGGGTGGAAGGATCTTTACATGTTGCAGACATGACTCATTCCATTACTCTCAACCTTTCTTTGACTTCCTGGTATAGGAGATGAAGTCCAAACCACCAGACATTCAAAACCTTTTTCGATTTAACCTCTTCCTGTCCACCTCTCAAGCTTTATAGAGTCACACTCTCTTTGCCAAATTCCCTACAATCCAGTAATTATTTTAGACTCATCTTTCACACATTATCATTTCCTGAGAATACCCTTCTACTTAAGTAAAACATGTCTTGCACAACCTGTTCGAGTCCTTCATTTTCTTTGAAACCCAATCTCAGTCTTTTTACAGGAAAATTCATGTCCTCTCTGCTGTTGCACTTTGTGCAGACCTGTCACTTGTCTGTTTTCCCTATACTAGACTGAAAGCTCTATGAGAGCAGGGGCTGTCTTATTTAATCTCCAACATTGCCTACCATTATTCGGATTCCCTAATGTCCACTGAGCAGCTGATGCCATTTTATAAGGGATTTGCTTACATTAGAGCCCTACTCATTCTTTATCTGGCAAATCCCAGAAACATTTTGACCCTGCACAGAATCCATGCAGGCCTCTGGGATAAAAACCTGGAAATAGCAACCAGGTGCTAGGAGAGATGATTAATTACACTTTTCTCTTTGTTGTTACACAGCTCAATATTGAACAATGCCTAGAGAAATCACACAGTGTGTAGGGCAATTGCTTTGCATGTGCTGACCTGAGTCTGATCTCCAGCACCCTATTCAGACCCCTGAGCACTGCCAGGAATGACTCCTGAGCACTGCCAGGTATGACTGAGAAGTAATTTTTTTTCTTTTGGGGCTATACCCAGTGGCACTCGGAATATTCCTGGCTCCGCACTTAGGAATTACTCCTGGCAGTCCTTGGGAAAACACAAGATGCCAAGGAATGAACCCAGGTAGACCACATGCAAAAACAGGAGCCCTACCCGCTGTACTGTTGCTCTAGCCCCCCTAAAAGTAAAAATTTTAATAATTTATTGTTCCAGGAGTACGCTAGTGAGTCCTTCACAAGTCCCTCACTAGAATCTATTTCCCTCTGCCACTGTCTCCTTTTTCCCTCCCACACCCTCCCAAGCCTGCCTCTCTAACAGGCACTTTTTCTTTCCTTTTTCTTTTCTCCTTCCAGATACTGTGATTTACGTACTGCTACTGATAGGGTATCAAGCATATCACTTGACCTTCCCAAAACACATTTTGTTTTTCTACACCTGGCAATGCTCAGAGGTTATTTCTGGCTCTGCACTTAGGAATTACTCCTGACGGTGCTCGGAGAACCAAGTGGGATGCTATACTGTCTCTTCAGCCCCAAAATAAAAAAAAAAAAAGTTTTAAAATTTCAACAATGCCTCTCTGAAAAGGTGGAACAGCTTCAACAAAAATTGTCTGCCATATATTTCAAGCTTTCTTGATTATTGAGGCAGCAAATATTCTGACACAAAAATGATTGTATATAGATTATGTTGAGTTACACATCTGAATGAGTTATTGATGGGAAAAGTGGAGTTGTCTTCCTTGTGTGTTGCCTTGACATTCAACCGGAATTCATTTCCAGATGAGGAAGCTACCTTGCTTACAGGGATTTTCTACCTTTTTTTTACTGAGAAAAACTACATGGTATTATTAAATTTGGGAGAAATTTTGTATAATACCAATGACTTTAAAATTTCTGTTGTTTTCCCATATGCCATTCTAGACCATTGACTTTAATAAGGTAAAGGCCCTCCCGTTGATCGTCGATTTGCTCGAGCGGGCCCAGTAACGTCTCCATTGGAGACTTTGTTGTTACTGTGTCTGGCATATCGAATACTCTCGGTAGCTTGCCGGGCTCTCCGAGAGGGGCGGAGGAATCGAACTCGGGTCGGCCATGTTGGCCACTTGTAAGGCAAACGCCCTACCCGCTGTGCTATCGCTCCAGCCCTTATGTCTGTATATTTTATGCTGTTTGGGAGCCACACCTGATGGTGTTTAGAGCTTAATCGTGGCTCTGCATTCAGGGATAACTCCTGGAAATGCTCAGGGGACCATATGTGGTGTCAGGGATCAAACCAAGGGTGCCTCACTCAAAACCAGCGCCTTATCCATCCTCTGTTCTATCTCTCTAACCCTTTAGTATATTTTTATATAATTGCAGTCTGTATAGATAAAAATACCACTTAGCATTTTTCCTCTTTTGCTTAATAGATTATGTAAACGTTTTTACATTTAGGCTTCAGAGTTATTTTCAGGGGTTGCTTAATAATAGCTACCAGTTGAGCACTGACTGAATAGTAGGCAAATGGTAAGATCCTATTTGTTTTGTTTTTGTTTAAGCATCCTATTTGTAATCCTCATAATAGTCATAAGAGCTAAATGTCATTAATCACCATTTTACCAGCCAGAAACTGACTCAGGGAGGAGTAGCAACCCAGTGACACGTGATTCTAATTAGCAGAGACTGGTAAAAGTCACCCTAAGTCTGTTCTTTCCACTCCATCATGTTGTCTCTCACATAAGATAGTTCTGTGATTTATAAATCATAACTTGATAAACCATTTGATATTTTCACCTGCATTGATTCTCTTATTTTCCCTACCCAAGTAACAATGTATGTGCAGAAGTGCTTTTCCAGAGAGAGAGTATGAGAATGTATAACAAATGATAAAAAAGATTTTTCCTCTTTTCATTCTTGTTGGGATTACATGAATTGCCCATTCTTGGTTGAGGGTACTTGCACATGTGATTGCAGTGCTCACAGGCATGGTACTTGCCAGAGAGTGCTCACTTTAGTTTTAGTGCTTGTTCATGCACTCACCAGGGATTGTACTTATTTGCCAATAAGGCTCACATATTCTCATTGGAGTGCTTGCCCAGTGGCTGTACTGTTCATATATTTGCTCACTGGAGGTTATACTTCTGTCCCTTCTGGTGCTCATACATCTCACCAGGGCTTGCACAGTCATTTCCTGTATACTCACACACTTAACTTATGTGCCAGTGATCACACACTCTGTTGTGTTACCAGGGGTCCCAAAAAGCACAGCAACCAGGATTGCACTCAGTGCATGTGGGCAGCACAAGGGATCAAACTGGAGACCTCATTTTTTATGGACTATACCCAGTGGTGCTCAGGGCTTATTATTCCTGGCTATGCACTCAGGGACTACTCCTGGTGGGCTCAGGGACTGTACAGGTACTTGGGATTGAACCCAGGTCAAATTCAGGCAAGGCAACCTGCTGTACTATCACTCTAGCCCCCAGCAACAAAAATTTTTAAATGTCTATAGTTTGGGGCAGAGAAGTAGTTCAGCAGGTAAGGCACTTTCTTGCACATGGCCAAACCAGGTTCAATCCCTAAAACTGCATACAGCTTCCTGAGCACAGCCCAGGGGTTTGCCCTAAGCATCTGCAGGTGTGACGCCAAAAATAAAACCACACATCTATAACTTTACATATTACTCTTTTTATTCAGAATAATAATTTTACTCAAAATAATAATTTTACTCATGTTACTCTGGAGTGATAGCACAGCAGTAGGGCGTTTGCCTTCACGTGGCCCGCCTGGCCGAGCCAGGTTTGATTTCTTCGCCCCTCTTGGAGAGCTGGGCAAGCTACCGAGAATATCTCGCCCACGCGGCAAAGCCTGGCAAGCTACTCGTGACATATTCAATATGTCAAACACAGTAACAAGTCTCACAATGGGGACTGGAGCAATAGCACAGCGGGTAGGGCGTTTGCCTTACACACGGCCGACCCGGGTTCGATTCCCAGCATCCCATATGGTCCCCCGAGCACCGCCAGGAGTAATTCCTGAGTGCAGAGCCAGGAGTAACCCCTGAGTATCACAGGGGTTTGACCCAAAAAACGAAACAAGTCTCACAATGGAGACATTACTGGGCCCGCTCTAGCAAATCGATGAACAGCGGGAGGACAGTGCTACAGTGCTACTCTTATAGATGTATTTAACAGAAAATCATAATTTTTTAAATTATAAATAATTGGGCTTAAAGCATCAAGGAACTGGGCCTGTAGTTCAGTAATGGAGAACTCTTCCAAGGTGAGAACTTGAATTAGCCCCTGGCTCTGCAAAATAAATTAGATTTCTAGTGTTGGGGCCAGAGAGATAGTACAGTGGGTAGAGTACCTTGTGTGTGGCAGACCCAGCTTTTTTCTCCAGCATCCCAGAACCCACAAAAGTGGTCCCTGAGCACAGAGCCAGGAGTAGGCCTTGTGCATTGCCAGATGTGGCCCAAAAACCAAAAAATAATAATAAATTAAGTGTTTCTTTATGGTTTTTTGTTGTTGTGGTAGTGGTAGTGGTGGTGGTAATGGTGCTCAGGGAATTACACCAAGTGACATTCAGGGGCCACATGGTGCCAGGGATTGAAGCCAGGGCTACATTCGTGCTCTGTTGGGAGTCACATCTTTGGCCCTATCTTTTGAATACTTTAGATATGGTCACGGTCCTCCCGTTGTTCATCGATTTGCACGAGCGGGCCCAGTAATGTCTCCATCGTGAGACTTCTTGTTACTGTGCTTGGCATATTGAATACATCACGGGTACCTTGCCAGGCTCTGCCGTGTGGGCGAGATACTCAGTAGCTTGCCGGGCTCTTCGAGAGGGGTGGAGGAATCGAACTCGGGTCGGCCATGTTGGCTGCGTGCAAGGCAAACACCCTACCACTGTGCTATCGCTCCAGCCCAGATGAACCATATCAATGACCTAAGCATATTCTTTACCAATACCTAAAGTTGTTTTTCAACTACCAGTGAATTCAATTATGTTGACTGAGTTAAAGAAAAGCGTGGGAGGGGCTGGAGGATAGCACAGCGGGTAGAGCATTTGCCTTGCACGACTGGGTTTGACTCCCAGCATCCATAAGGTCCCCCGAGCACAGCCAGGAGTAATTCCTGAGTGCATGAGCCAGGAGTAACCCCTGAGCATTGCCGAATGTGACCCAAAAAGGAAAAAAAAAACATAATGGTTTGAAAATAACCTCTATAAATTATATTACTTATAATGAACTTTGTTTTTTGTTTGTTTTTTGTTTGTTTTTGTTTTGGGGGGGTTTTTTTTTTTGTCTTTTGAACCTTACCTATTACAGTTTTCCAAGGTTCTCTCATGGCAGTGCTTGTGGGATCATTGTTGCCCTGTATTATACCTGGGGTTCCCACATTCTAAACATGCACTGAAGCCCTTTGAACTAACTCCCTGGTCTCTGAATTTTTCTTTATATTAGACATTCATTGGCTTATACCTACCTAATCAAACATAGTAACTTTGACTCCCTTCTTCTAAAGACAAGGATTTTTATTCCTCTTTGATTAGATTCTTTATTTTGTAGTAAATAACCCACACCCAGATCAACAAGGATACCAATATCTCTAGACAATTTCTCGAATCATTCCATTGCTTTCCTATTTTTACTTTGATTTCTGGGAGCAGCTTTTTGTTTTTCCAGGTTTGGGACTTGCGCCAAAATAAGCTGACCTATACCATGAGGGGCCACGCAGATTCAGTGACTGGCCTGAGTTTAAGTTCTGAAGGCTCTTACCTCTTGTCCAATGCAATGGATAATACAGGTAACTTTAGATAACATTAGAACGCAAAGCTATCCCGTTGTCCAAATCAGTGTGGTTCCTAAAGAAAATGGGCATTGAAGTGCTAGAAATATATGTTAAAATAAATGGGGTTCAAAGGAAAAGTCAAGAACAGCTAGTAGGGTTTTTTTAATTTTATCTCATTTGTATAAAGTTATTCATAAAAATTGATTACATTCAATATTCTGACACCAATCCCACTACCATTATACCTTCCTACCACCTGCATGGCAGAGCCTGGCAAGCTACCCGTGACGTATTTGATATGCCAAACACAGTAACAACAAGTCTCATGACGGAGACATTACTGGGCCCGCTCGAGCAAATCGATGAACAACAGGAGGACTGTGATACCGTGATACCACCATTATTTCAAATTTTCCCAACCACCAACCAAGCTTGCCCCACTAGCAGGCCATAAATAATTTATTTTGTATTGCTTGTTATAAATAATTTATTTTAAATGATCAAAAAAGGTTTCCATAGAAGAAAGTATGTGAAGATTGTGTTGAGATACAATTGTTTTTGTATCTCAACATTTTTGTTTTTTGGGGTTTTTTTTTTTGGCAAGCTACCCATGACATATTCGATATGCCAAAAACAGTAACAACAAGTCTCACAATTTGTTGTGAGACATTACTGGTGCCTGCTCAAGCAAATTGATGAACAGCGGGAGGACAGTGCTACAGTGCTTTCTGATATTCATTTAACAAAAGCAGTGCCTTGGGCCTAGAGGAATAGTGCAAGGCTTAGTGCTCCTGCCTTGCAATCATGTAGTAAGAAGATAAATGTCCTGTGTCTTCACGATCCCCCATACTGCTGGAAGTGGCCCCTGAGTTAATTCCACGTATGGCCAAAAAAAAAAAAAAAAAAACCACAAGAAATAGTTCCTACCACTCTGTGGATACTCAATAAATATTTGAGTAAACATCCTTACCAGAATGCTATATCTCAGTTCAATAGAAAAGTTTTATGCATAGTTTTACCTTTTTATGCCTACCAACTAAGTCAGTGTTAACTCTTTGCATTCAGTTACTTTAATTTATCTATAGTTGGGGCTGAAGCGATAGCACAGCGGGTAAGGCGTTTGCCTTGCACGCAGCCAACATGGCCAACACAGGTTCGATTCCCAGCATCCCATATGGTCCCCCGAGCACCGCCAGGAGCAATTCCTGAGTGCATGAGCCAGGAGTAACCCCTGAGCATCGCCGGGTGTGCCGCAAAAAAAAAAAAAAAGAAAAAATTATCTATAGTTGTAGCTTTAGAGAAAAGTAGCTCTATAGACCATGTGCTTGCTTTGCATGTGGCCAAACCAGTTTCCATCCCTAGTACTCTATATGGCCCCCAAGCCCACCAGAAATGATCCCTGAAGCCACAATCAGGAGTAAAAGACTTGAACACTGCCTGGTGGGTCCAAAAACCAAAAAATAAATTTTAAAAACAGCTATAGCAGTTTCTAACCATTGGGTATTTATACATTTCTGCCCCCCCCCCCCCGACACTACCCCCCCCCCCCACCACCACCACCACATTCAGCGGTACTCAGGGCTTATTTCTGGCTCTATACTCAAGGGTCACTCCTGGAAGGACTCAGGGCACCTATGAGGTGCCAGGGATCAAACCCATATTGGCCACACACAAAGAAAGCACCCTACCCACTGTACTATCACTCTGATCCCTATACACATTTTTATCAGTAGATTTGCCATTCTAGACATTGTTCATAGTAAGAAAAAATGAGATTTTGTAAAAATGTAAGAATTTCATGTTACTGGACCAGAGAGATAGTACGCAGTAAGCTGCTTTGCTTGCATGCATTCTCACCTGCATTCAATCCCTGGCACCATTTTTGGTCCCCTGAGTACCGCCAGGAGTGATCACTGAGCACTAATTGTGGACCAAAAACCAAAAAAGATAAAAGAAGAATTTTGTGTAACAGCTGCATAACAGTATTACAGATTTTTTAATTGTTATCTTGAGTCCTTTAAAACGTTTTATGTTTGTCATCTTTCCCCCTTTGCTTTCCTTCATTGTTGCAATGACCTGGGATCACATGCATGCCTGGCTGCTATTGATATATTTAACTTCAGTGCTCAGCTAAGTTTACTGGCTTTGATGTGCAGGGCCACACTCTCCAGTTGCAGTGTTCACACATACCTGGCTGCAGTGGACCAGTGATTACATGCCGTTTTAGCACCTCCAAATAGCAGAGCTATAGGAATCATGCTCAACTTTTGTGTCAGCACCAGGGATTATGCTTGCAAGGCAGAAACTCAAGCAACTGAGCCCTCCCCTAAGTCTCTATTTATAGCATCTTATTTGTTCTCTAAAATACTCACAAAAAAGAATTGGAGAGATACCTAAAGTACATGCAGTGCATCCAGGAGACCCAGGTTCAGTCCCTTGTACCACATAGTTTCCTGAGCACTGCTGGGAGCAAGCACCAATCCAGAAGTAGCCTCTGAGCACTGAATGTGACACAAAAATATATTAAAAATTAAGGACTGGTTATATTTTCATTTAGTTTTTTATAGGATACACATATGACTATGCTTGACCCATGTAGTACTAAGGATAGAACTAGGGCCTTGCACATGTTATTCATGTTTTCTGCCATTTACGCCACATTGCTAGCCTGATGTTCTCTTTTCACAGAGGAGACAAAGTCTCAAACACTTTATCTGATATCACCTTTATATATCGTTGAACTAGAATTGGAATCAAATTCACTTTCACTGATTCTTGGCACAGTGCTCTTTAGATACATTTCACCTTCTTCAAGTTTAGACTATTAAGTGTACCTATGAGCACCATCAGAAAAGGTCAACCCTAAGTTTAGTTTTTATAGATTTATTGTCTCGGTATTTGGTGGTATTTAGATTGTTGCGCTAAAGCTTTGCCGGCTGTGACTCTGAGTTTGCAGAGGAATGTGCAGTGGTTCGTTGAAATGCTGTTATGCCCAACTACTTTTCTGTTGGAAATCCCCATCAGTGTCTTTGACATTTCCCCTCCTTACCCCTCACAGCTTTCCTCCATGTCTCTATTAATGGAACTTGAGTACATTGCGTTCCCCTTAGGAAAGGAAAATAACTTACCAGCTAGCAGTGTTCCATAGTAGCCATGTCCTCAGCAAGCCTGTCATTGATGGCTGTTTTGCATTGTTTGTTTGAATATGCAGTGCGTGTATGGGATGTCCGACCATTTGCTCCGAAAGAGAGATGTGTGAAGATATTTCAAGGAAATGTACACAACTTTGAGAAAGTAAGTTCTGCATGGCAGGGTTTTACTATCCAGTAATTTCGAAGAAGTACTTAACAACGGGGTAACAGTGACAGTGACTTAAGATTGAGAACACTTCCTCTTAAGAAGGGGCTATATTCCACTGACAGAATTTTTTTTTTGTATGAAACTTTATTTTAAACACCATGATTTACAAAGTTGTTCACAGTACAGTTGTTTTTAAGTATTCAGTGGTTCCAACACCAGTCCCACCATCAGTCTGACTTTTCCTCTACCAGTTTCCCATCCCAACCTCTCCCAAACCTGCTCCCTTAGCAGGCACAAAATTATTTAGATTGTTTCTTACAGTACATGGTGTTACTAAAGTCTGAGGATTTACTGAGCTGTTAGGTGCTAACTGAATCTTCTTTGTTACTGTTTTCACAGATTGAACCTAGTGGGCTTCTAAATAACTTTTAATTTTTAATTGTTTTAGTTTTTATTTTATTTTTATTTATTTTTATTTTTCATATTTTTTAATGTTTAATTTTAAATAATTAATTTCTGTACGCCTACTGGGCTGTCAGCTCTAAAGTTTGTAGTTGTCACACAACCATGGCCACACACTTCAGGAACTTTGGTGGTGAGATGATCAAATGGCAGGTCTCTCCTAGATCAGTCCTGAAGCTGAGTTCTTTTTTTATTTTTTTTCTTTTTGGGGTCACACCTGGCAATGCTCAGGGGTTACTCCTAGCTCTGCACTACTATCCCTCCTGGCCTTCTGGGCCCATTTCTTTGGTGGCAGAAGCTGGATTCCACTGACAGAATTCTTTCTCAAAAATCCTTTGTGGGGGCAGAGCAATAATACAGCAGGTAGGGCACTTACCTTACACGCAGCTAACTTGGATTCTATCCCCAGCACCCCATATGGTTCTCCCAGCATAGACAGAAGTACCGCCAAGTATACCCCCAAAACAAACAAAATATTAAGTGTTCATTGAATTGGTTTTATTATTTTCTTTTTATGGGAAGGGGGCATACAGCTGGTGATGTTTAAGAGTTATTCCTGGCTCGGTGCTCAAGGATTACTCATGATAGTGTTTGGGGGACCATATGGGGTGTCAGGGATCAAACTCGGGTTGCCTGCATGCAAGGTAAGCACTTTACCCCCTTTATTATTACTTGGGCCCCTGTTACTGTCATCTTTTAAGATAAAGGGGGGATCCAGAAAAAGGGACCCTCTATTTGAAGGGAGAACAAAATTTTATTGTCTAGACATTTTCTAGAATTGGTTTTTATATGATATGAAATAATAAATTATGTTGTCTTGAGCCACAGCTACAAGGTAATTTCTGATCTTCTTCTGGGAAGAATAATTAAAACTGAAAACCTAATCTCTCAGTAATTCTTGAGTCTTAACAAGAAGGAGTTCGGTACATTGCTGTATTCATTAGATTCCTGTTTATTCATCATCATAGAATCTCCTGAGATGTTCTTGGTCACCTGATGGAAGCAAGATAGCAGCTGGCTCAGCTGACAGGTAAGGATTACTGGGCGTGAGGTAAAGAATGATGTAGCTATGCAGGTATCTTCTCATGTTTAATACATGAAGTGTGGATACTAAACTAGAGCAGACATAGAATTATGACTGCACTCAGAGATGAAGCTGTGTGCGGTGTGATGGGTTTAAAGGGCAGAGAGGACAAATACATCATTTCTACCCTCTTTGGATCCCTTTAATTCCTGGAGGATAAGCAATTTCTTGACTCTGTTGGGCTCCCCTTGCTATCAAAATAAAATTCAGACTCAGAATCTGACTTGTATCCCTTATCAGACTCTGTTGGACTCCCCGTGCTATTAAAATAAAATTTAAACTCCTGATCTGACTCCATTTTCCCATATCAGATTCTTCTGCCATGCTTCAGTTCATTCAAATGCTTGGAGTATGCTCCTCCCACATCATCACCATGGGCTTTCCATGCTCATATTTCCTTTGTACATTCTCATGTCCAGATTCTCTCTCAGCTTCTCTTCCTCAGTTGCCCAAACTTCCTATCGCTTTAATAACCTGGTATCACCTCTATGTCCTATCTGTATGTGATCCCCTTAACCCATTAATTTGTGGGAATAACTGACTTCTTTGTGTTACAACCACACTGTATTACATCTGGCTTTTATTAAAATTACCTCTTACACTCAGCAAACATAGTAAGGGACACCCACTCATTTTTTTTACTCCTGGACCTAAAGGCAATAGAGAAGAAAGAGTCCTTGAGTATCACAAGGTGTAGCACAAAAACAAAGAAGTTAATTGCTTCTGAAGGCCACAGAATGAATGCATTTCTAACCAGAGTTGTTCTAGGCAGTACTTGAACTAAACACTTGTGTTAAATGAATTTGTAGGTCAAGGATGACAGATTTTGCCCTACAATATCAACTCATCTATTGATGCTGTGTTGGGAATGATTCAGAGCAAGGTTCAAAGGGAAAGTAGTTAGGATAGTTAGTGAGGATTAGGTAGCATGTGAAATACATAAAAATACATATACTTTCCGCCTCTGAGCTGAATCAAGATACTGCAGCTTTCTCCTGTCACTTTTTTTTTTTTTTTTTTCATTTTTTGGGTCACACCCGGTGATGCACAGGAGTTACTCCTGGCTGTGTACTCAGGAATTACTCCTGGCGGTACTTGGGGGATTATATGGGATGCTGGGAATCGAATCAAACGCAGGTCGGCCACATGCAGGGCAAACGCCCTACCCTGCTGTGCTATCGCTCCAGCCCCTCCTGTCACTTTAAACTGGCTTTATGTAATAAATTAGAAACAGAAGGGAGAGAATTCAGTCAGAAACTGTTTGGTATGTCCTTGGTGACCTGTGCTTGGGAGAGAATCAGATTCAGTAGGATGTCTAGGTGCCAAGACAGTGGGAGTGGTAAAGAATCTGGCCAACCATAGGGGCCAGAGCGATAGTACAGCATTACAGCAGGTAGGGTATTTATCTGTCTTGCACGCAGCTGACCAGGGTTTAATCCCTGGCACCTTTTACCGTTCCCCTAGCACCAGTAGGAGTAATTCTGAGGGCAGAGCCAGGGGTAAGTATGACCCAAAAAGCCAAAAAAAAAAAGTCTGGCCAACTCTTCAGTTTTGCTCCCATTGGGGGAGATATTTACCCTTTTGATTTTTATTTTTTGTTAAACCACACTCAAGGCTGCTCCAGGGGTCACTCCTGACAGTACTCAGGAAACTGTGTTTTGGTGATTTAATCTAGTTCTTTCTCATGCAGTGCATGCACTCAGCCTGTTGAGCTCTTTCTGACCTTCTTAACTTTTTTTTTTTTGACCTAACTCTTTCTCTCCATTGTTTCCCTGTTGGTAAAAATACCTCCTATAAATGTTAAGTATTTTCTTGGCTTGGGTTTTCAGCATATTTAGGAGTTCCCCCCCCCCCCCCCCCCCGTTAGGATCCTAGAATTTCACTTTGGTCCCTTCCTATTTATGAATAATGCTGAACATAACAAAAGATTCTAGAATTCTCAACAATCACCACCACCCACTTTTTTTTTTCCATTTTATTTGTTTTGGAACCATACCCAGCTGGGATGGGGATTTACGCCTGGTTCTGCACTGAGGAATCATTCCTGGACAATTTCAGGGTACCATATGGCGATTAAACCCAATTCTACTGCATTCAAGGAAAGGCAAGCGCCTTACTGCTGTACTATCTCTAGTCCCTGCATAGCTTTTCTTCTGAGCAGTTTGTGTCTGATGTGGTTTCTTTCTGACTTTCAATTACTCTTTTTCGGGAGAAGGGGAGGCATTATGTCACACTCAGCAGTGGTTAGTATCTACTCCTGGCTCTGTGCTCAAGGTTTTCTACCATATAGTGCTAAGGATCCTACTGGGTTCAGCCACATGCAAGGCAAGTGCCTTAACCACAAACTGTCTCTCTGGCTCCTTTGTTGTTGTTTAGGGGTGAGGGGAGGGGGGCGGAGATAACACCCAGCAGTGCTCAGGTTTCTCCTGGCTGGCTATTCACTTGGTAATCCATACTCAGCAGTCCTCCATACTCAGGGGAACAAGCAGTGCAGGAATCAAGGCCCATGCTCCTCCATAAAAATAGCTTTCACACTGGCCCTTTGAGTGTCTCCTAGCCCTCGGGGTCCTCTTTTCTACTCTTTCTCTCCCCACTATTCCTTTAAACTTTACTTGTGCAGCATAGCTCTGGTCTCCGGAAAACCTGCTGAGGGTTGGTCAAATTTCACAAGCCACCTAACCAGTATACCCCAACTCTGCAAGTAGCTCTGTTTGTTACATAAAGATCTTGAATCCTGCTGAACGTTACCATACCAGGGTAAGAAAATAGGGAACCTCTCTAAATTTAGTACCTAATTGGCAGCCATGGAGAGTGAGGCCTTGAAAGTAAACCCTTGGAGATCAGTTCTGCTGACTTTTTCCAGCCTGCAAAATGTATCCTTTTTTTTTTTTCCCTCAGAAATTTGCTTTTCAGCTTGGCCTGGATTTAGCAAATACTCCTCTCTGTGTTTGTATATCACCTGCTTCCTCAAAATGAAATTTAAAACTCTTCAACAGACCTATCTAAAACTCTGGGAAAATGGGCCAGTCTTTCTGCCAGAAGTGTTTGATTTAGTAGGCCTGTTGACTGCCTGTGATTCTGTTTTGATAATGAATGTATTCATTCAAACAACTTGCGGTCATTAATTCTCTGAACCAAGCATTTTCCATACATTTTCTTAGTGCTTACAACCAAACTGAGATCAATATTGTCTCTGACATAACTGCTAAAGAAAGAGAAGTTCAGAAAAGTTAAAATAATCACGAAAGGTTACTTGGCTATGAAATAACTGCATTGAGATTTGAACCCAGGTCTTCTCCAGAACTCATATACATCATAGCTGAATTTAATGAGGACAGTTATTATTTCTTCATGCAATAAAGACACTAGGGAGAGTGTAAGTATCAGAGCCAAGGAGTCTGTAGACAATGGGATTCTGTCTTCAGGTTTTTCTAGGAACTTTTTAAGTTCATATAGAGCCTCACCTTTGAGAGCCAAACTATGATTAAGAGGTTGGGGGGTTGGGGCCAGCTGGATAGATTGCTTGCCTTGTATGCAGGCAACCCAGATTCAATCCTATCCCCACAACTGGTCCCTGAGCACTGCCAAGTGTGGCCCCAAAACATAAACAGCATTTACCATAAGAATTTCTCACTGTGGATAAGATAGCTGGAGGTGTCTGGTTGTTTGTTTTTTTTGTTTTGTTTATTTTCAATTTATTTTTTTGTTTTGCCGCTTTGTTGTTTTGCTTGGGGACCATGCCCAGCAGGGTGTGGGGCTTACTGCTGGTTCAGCAGTCAGAATCTCTGGAATCACTTCTTGTAGGGCTTGGGAAACCAATAGGGTGCCAGGAATTAAACTCAGGTTGACTTTGTGCAAGGCAGGTGCCTTGTCTATTGTACTATCTCTCCAGGCCCATCTTCATTTTCTTAGCTATATTAGAAGTTTGAAATATCTGTAGCACTGTCCTCCCATTGTTCATTGATTTGCTCAAGCGGGCACTAGTAACATCTCCATTGTGAGACTTGTTACTGTTTTTGGCATATCAAATAGGCCACGGGGAGCTTGCCAGGCTCTGGTGTGCAGGCGGGATACACTCGGTAGCTTGCCAGGCTCTCCTGAGCGTGACATGGGTATGAGGTAAGACCCAGAGTCAATCTCCTGCATCACATATGGTCCACCAAGCAGCACCAGGAGTGATCCCTAAGCACAAAGGGAGGAGTAAGCCCTGAGCAACGCCAAATATATCTTAAAATAACCAGAAAGGATGGGAGGGAGAAAATAAAACTGAAATTTGAAGATGACATCATAAAATACATAGAAAGTCCCATATGCTCCAGTGAAAATCTATTCAAAATAATAAATATAGGGCCTGGGGAGATGGTACAGGAGATAAGGCATTTACCTTGCACATGGTGACTCCAATTCTGTCCCCAACACTGTTTGTTGGTACCCTAAGCACCTCCAGGATTGATCCCTGAGTGCCCTGAGCATTGCAGGGTGTGGCCCCAAAACAGTAATCACTTGATCGCTTGACATTTTGTTACTCATCGATTTGCTCGAGCGTGCACCAATAACGTCTCCATTCGTCCCTGTCGTGTGCTAGTGTAGCCCAATGGCGTCTGTTTGTTCTAGGAACACGAAAAGCCTCAAACCGATTGTTCAGGGTCTTGACGAAGAACCATCTTGTAGGTGGGCAGCCACGCAGTCTTTTGACGCCCCATGGAATCCAGTCAGTAACAGCTCTAGTCCAGCGGTCGTCTCCAAATCTCATTACTTGTCCTGCCCATCTGATTTTCAACGCCTTGGCAAATGAGAGAACGTCCCTGATTCTTGATCATCAACGGAGGTCGGAACTCCAGATTCTTTCATTTGAGTGAAACGTGATACTCCAAGCATGGCTCTTTCAATTCCTCTTTGGGAGACCCAAATAGCGTTCTCATCCTGTTTTCGTAGGGCCCAGGTCCCTGAGGCGTATGTTAATGTAGGAAGAACAGTGAAATCGAAGAGATGTACCCGGAGCTGGAAGTTCTTTGTCCTCTTAGCTATTTCTTCTATGTTCTTGAAGGCATTCCAAGCCGCTCTCTTCCTCCTGCGCAATTCAGGTGCCAGGTCATTTGTCATGTTGACTTCTCAACCTAGGTACACATAACTGTTGCATTCAGAGATGGTCGTTTCGTTGAGAGCGAATGGAACGTCAGGAACGAGACTGTTTCTCATAAGCATTGTCTTCATGAGATATAACTGGAGTCCAATCTTTCTACACTCACGGTTGAAGTCGGCCAGCATTTGTGCTGCTTGGCTAATGTTTGGTGTTATTAGAACGATGTCATCAGCAAAGCGGAGATGGTGTAGTTGCCGACCAACAGTCTTTCTTCACTCCCATTCCTTCCCACGTTCTCAAGGGTGACACTGAAGAGTTTCGGTGAAATGGTATCACCCTGCCGAACCCCTCTCGACATCGATGGTCACTTCTTTGTAGAATGGTGAGATCCTGGTAGTGAATCCATAATACAGCTCACGGAGGATCCTGATGTATTGAGTTTGAATGCCCTGATTGGCTAGGGCTTCGATGACCGCTTCTGTCTCAACAGAATCAAAGACCTTCTTTAAATCAATGAACGTTAGACAAAGTGCATCTTGAACTCCCGAGAAACCTCAGTGAGCTTGGTTATCTTGTGGATATGGTCGATCATGCTGAATCCTTTTCGGAACCTGGCTTGCTCGCATGGTTGTCCTTCATCTAGTGTTCTGCCAATCCTATTCAGGATGACTTGAGTGAACAGCTTGTAGATGACAGACAATAGGCAGATCGGGTGATAGTTGGCAATGTCATGGATGTCTCCCTTCTTGTACAGTAGTACAGTCCTGCTGGTTTTCCATTGGGACGGAACCTTGCATTCAGACAAGTAGCATGTGAAGAGCCGAGCCAGTGTATTGATGAGTACTGATGGCAGGTTCTTCAGGTGTTCAGGTCTGACCTTTTCTGGGCCGGGTGCTGTTTGTTTCTTTACCGACGAAATGGCATGTCGGATTTCGGAAGGGAGAACGTTGGGAACGACATATCCATCCTGTGGAATTTGGTATGTGGGCAGGTGGACATGGCTATCAAAAGAGATCTGAGTAGAAGTCATGGATAATCTTCTCCATTGCCCTTCTGGAAGATGTAATAGATCCATCAGGACGTCGGAGGGCAGTCATCTTGGTCTTGTAGTTGGCAAAGGACAGGCGGGTGTTGCGAATGCTTTTCCCGGCTTCTGCCGCATCTACCAGCACTGCTGCTCTTCTCAGTAATAGTAATAATTATAGTAAAGTGGAAGTAGCTAAATGTTTTAAAGAAGTCAATTTTAGGATAAAGGATGGAAACTCGACTTTAAAGTGTTCAACATAATGTAATATATACAGATACTGATTTACTGAAATCTGTTATCAACATGTTATTTTAATTTTTGTGTGTATGTGTGTAGCAAATGTATTGTTGCTTCCATCTTCCTTGAAAACTCATGCCTCTGCTCTCCCGTTAGGTCTAGGAGATCTTACTCTTTTTTTCCTTATGGTTCCTTGCAGGTTTGTGTATGTGTGGGATACCACAAGCAGAAGGATTTTGTATAAGCTACCTGGACATGCTGGCTCCATCAATGAAGTGGCTTTCCATCCTGATGAACCCATCAGTAAGTCTATTTTGACTGTGGGATAGGAAAACCCTAAGAATCTCCCTAAGGGGCCCTAAGAATAGAGACAGACATAGACATCCTTTGTATGAATTTCCTTGTAAACAGTCTGTGTGGGAATCATTAAAAGGTTTTTTTCTAAGTAATGAGGGTAAAAGAAATACACCATTTATGGGAGACCGGAGCAATAGTACAGTGGATAAGGTGCTTACCTTGCATGCAACTGACCTGGGTTTGATCCCCATCATCCCATTTGGTTCCCTTAGTCCACCAGGAGTGATCCCTGAGTGCAGAGACTGGAATAACCACTGAATATCTCCAGGTGTAACCCAGAAACAAAGAAAAATACCCATTTCCTTCTCAATCTTAAAGGAAGTATTCCTAGTTCTTTTGAGTTTACCTCAAATCTATGTTTCAGGACAGGAGAGATAGAATAGTGGTACAGCACCTTGGCACCACTTGGTCCCCCAAACACTGCAAGGAGTAAGTTCTAGCAACGTGGGTTGTAGCTCAGATACAAACAAAAAATTGTGTCCCCTACCACCTATTTGGATAAAAGGAATGTTTCTAAACATATATAAATTTTAGTTTAACATTTTATTGGCTAGCTAAATGATGAGTCTTGAGTTTGAGAAAATGTAACTTCTGTGTTGTGCTAAGTATAATAAGTAGAAGCACATTTACAAAATAAGTGACAGAAACTGGGTCTTCCTATCTAGAATGACAGAAGATCCGTTTTTTGTTTTTTTTTTAAGAATTGACTGATAAAGGGCATAAGGATTTAGAGCTCAATATTGTATCAAGCTAGAGCAGTCCACCCCTGTGGTTTTGAGAGGACTTGATCTAAGAAGCCAGGCAACAGTTTCCTATAAAGTGTGATTGGGAGGAGGGGAATTGAAGCAAAATCCAATTCTTGTTTCATATCAGAATTGACTCTTGACACAAGAGCCCTTGAGTATCAAGTCTCCTTGAACTTTAATTATTTCCAGATATCTTACATGTTCTTTTCACCTTAGTTCTCTCAGCATCAAGTGACAAGAGACTGTATATGGGGGAGATCCAGTGAAGATATGGAAGATTCCAAGGCTGCTTGACCTTGAGACCTCAGGCTGTGGCATCAAATAGTGGTAGACCAGGATCCTCCTTCTAATGAAGATCATTACTAGCAAGAAGTATGGAGGAGGAGGCTGTATCCCAATAGCCACATGTATACCCTTTCGTCAGGATGGATACAGACAAGCTTCCAGTGGCTTCTGAATACCACCTGCCAGATTTCAGGAACTGCTTGGGTATTTTTCTCTCCTCCATGATATACCCCACTCCCACCCCCAGTAAGAGTTCTTCAAAGGGACAAACATTGGTTGGTAATGTAGTTTCCTGTTTCCTAATTCAGGTAGAAAATGATAAAATGTGACTAAAATTGTTTGTGGGGATTTTTTTTTTAATTTAGTAACTGGCTTGTATATTTCTTTTTATTTCTCTGAGTCATTTTGTATTAAAAACAAAATAGATGCCTTTTTACAAGAGCATGTCAGTTGAATTTATTGTTATTTTTACGTTGAGGCTTTCTTACTGTAAATTTGGGTAGAACATGAACGTGTCATGGGGATACAATCCATTTACACTTTGGAGAGGTTTACTTCGATCTTTGGATTGTTTGGGGTTCCCCCTTTCTGCCTTCAGGTTTACCTCACTCCCATGAAAATTAAAAACAGGTGGTTGTTTTTCCGTCATATTCTTCTCTACTAAAAGCATAAGTAAAGAGGTGATAGGTAAGGCATATAACCTGCTTCTTATACACAACCTCAAATGAATAGCATTAGGGCCAGAGCAATAGTACAGTTGTTATGACATTTGTCTTGCACATGGCCAACGTGGGTTCAATCTCAGGCATCCCATATGATCCTCCAAGCACCTCTGGAGTAATTCCTGAGTTCAGAGTCAGGAGTAAGCCCTGAGCACCTCTGGGTGTGCAAAAGTGTCAAGTAGCATCTGTCTACTCTGCCTTCTGCCTAAAGCACTTTTCTAACTAAACTCAGTTCTTGAAGTGGAAAGATTTGGAATATTGCTTTTCTTATTTGGTTCAGTTTTGGTTTTGGTTTTAGGGCCACTCCTGGCAGTACGCATGGTTTTTTCCTGGCTCTGCACTCAAGGATCACTTCAAGTGATGCTTAGGGGACCATATAGGATGTCAGGGATTGAATCCAGGTCAGCTGCATGCAAGACAAACACCATACCCACTGTACTATTTTTCTAGTCTCAGATTTGGAGCATTTCAGCAGTAGAAATGATACTAGCTAGAATGTTGCATTAAATCAAACGAAATACAAGAAAGTTTATTGATTCCCCCAAGGACCACCAGAAGTAATTCCTGACTACAGAGCCAGGAATAAGCCCTGGGCATCATGGTGTGGCCCCATAAAACAAACAAACAAGAAATGCTCTTAGTTGCGTTTCTAATAGAGAGGTATTGTCTTCATGAATCTCTGGGTGACTGTGTTGAGCACACATACGAGCACAGATCACAGTTTATAGCAGAAAGATAATACCTTCAAATAAGCACATCACTTAATCACTTGACATCCCGTTACTCATCGATTTGCTCGAGTGGGCACCAGTAACATCTCCATTCGTCCCTGTCGCATGCTAGTGTAGCCCAGTGGCATCTGCTCGCTCCAGGAACACGAAGAGCCTCAAACCGATCGTTCAGGGTCTTGACAAAGAAGTCTGACCATCTTGTAGGTGGGCAGCCACGCGATCTTTTGATGTCCCATGGAATCCAGTCGGTAATGGCTCTAGTCCAGCAGTTGTCTCCAAATCTCATTACGTGTCCAGCCCATCTGATTTTCGACGCCTTGGCAAACGAGACAGCATCCTTGATAATGATATTAGCTAGAATGTTGCATTAAATCAAAAGAAATACAAGAAAGTTTCTTGATCGTTGACGGAGGTCAGAACTCCGGATTCTTTTATTTGAGTAAAGCGTGTTACTCCAAGCATTGCTCAGTAAGCACATATTCAAGTTTAACTCATTAATAAAGGAACCAGTAGGATAGTAAAGCTGTCAAATCATTTAACTTTCAGTACCATGAATGAACTTTAAATAAAGTGCACTAAAAATAGCAATTTAATATGTCAGGGATAGTTAAAGAAGTTGCACAGATTGTGTGGTTATACTTATATTGGGACTCAAAGAATGAGCAGGACTTTTTCAGGTGGACAAAGAATCGTGTGCATTCCAAGGATGACCAGGAATAGGTTTGAAGGCCTGGTGTGTTTCATAGGCTTCAAGAACTTCAGCATGGCTAGAAGTGAGGAGCAGAGACAAGGAATACTGTGACAGCTTAGCGAGCAATATTAATGTTTTTCCAATTGTGGACCCTTTTGGACTTTGTTTCTTTCTGATACTCCCCTTTCCCATCATATTAGTTTGGCCTTTTTTTTTTTCTTTCGGTTTTGTTTGCCCACTCCACACACACACACACACACACACACACCGCCCCGCAATGCTCAGGGCTTTCTCCTGGCTCTGCGCTCAGACGTCACTCCAGGGCCAGTGTACAGTGGGTAGGGCGTTTGCCTTGCACACAGCCAACCCAGGTTCGCTCCTTGGCATCCCATGTGTTCTCCCCCACCCCCAGGCACCTCCAGGAGTGATTTCCTGAGTGCAGAGCCCGGAGTAACCCCTGATAATTCCTGGGTATGACCCAAAAGCAAAAAAAGAAAAGAATCACTCCTGGCAGGCTGAGGGACTATATGGGATGCTGGATATCAAACCTATGTCAACCATGTGAAAGACAAATCCTCTACCCACCTCTCTGGATCCCAATTCAGCCTTTCAGTCTCATGTAATGACCTCTCATTAACATAGTTTTCACCTGAGGCCCCCCAGTTGAGAAACTGAGAAACTCTCATTTTTTTTTTTGATTTCTTTTTCTTTTTTTATTAATGAAAAACCATGAGGTACAGTTATAGGCTTACAAATTATGTGCTTGGGTTTCAGTTATACAATGATCAAGTGCCCATCCCTCCACCAGTGCCCGTCATCCATCACCATGGGTCCCAGCATCCCCCCCCCCCAACCCTCATCCCCCCCCCCCCCCCCCCCCCCCGTCCCATCCTGCCTCTGTGGCAGGGTATTCCCCCTTGTTCTCTCTCTCTTTCATTTAAAGCACCTACCTTGAACCTGGAGTGATAGTACAGCGTTTAGGGCATTTACCTTGCACACAGTCGACCAGGTTACGATGTCCAGCATCCCATATAGTCCCCTGAGCACCACCAGAAGTAATTCTTGAGTGCAGAGCCAGGAATAACCCCTGTGCATCGCCAGGTGTGACCCAAAAAGCAAAAAAAAAAAAAAAAAAAAGCACCTACCTAGCAAGCATACAGTTCAAATCCCACATACGCCTAGTTGCTATCCTGGCTGCTCTGGTCTTTGAGTTCTAGCATTGCAAATGACCACACAAAGAGGTACAACTCCTGGCCAACACAGCAACTTTAAAAATCTGGGCCGGAGTAATAGTACAGTGGGTTGAGTACTTGCCTTGCACTCTGCCAGTCTGGGTTCATTTGACATCCCATATGGTCCCCTGAGATTGATGGGTGTGGGGGGGGGGGGGGGGGCGGGGAGGGTTAGGGGGGGAGTACAATTGCCATGGCCAGAAAGTGAGACCTCAGCAAGTGTGAGCACTGCAACAACCCTTGCAAATGCCACTCTACAGTCAGGTGAATGCATAACCCTATCATCTCCATAACAACAAGGGGAAGGGGAAAAAAAAAGGGAAAAGGCATATGAAACAACACCCAGTAAAGGTGCAGATGAAGGAGTCAATGGGTGTTCTGGAGAGAGAGTTCAAAGCGCTAGAGCAAAGGTCTTGCATGCAGAAGAACCACGTTTAACTCCCACACTACATGCTGCCCTAAGCTTTGCTGGGAAGGACCTCAAACACAAAGTAGCTCCTGGCACTGCTCAAGTGTAGTTCAAAAACTAAAACGGGCTGGATCGATAGCACAGCGGGTAGGGCATTTGCTTTGCACGCAGCCGACCCAGGTTCGATTCCCAGCATCCCATATGGTCTCCTGAGCCCTGCCAGGATTAATTCCTGAGTGCATGAACCAGAAGCAACCCCTGTGCATTGTCGGGTGTGACCCAAAAAGCAAAAAAACAAAAAACTAAAAAAATATTTAAATGAGCCAAAAGAGATAGCTCAACATGTTGGCTGGGGCACCTACTCTACGTGCAGGAGATCCAGGTTCCATCCCTGCCATTGTGTGGTCCCGTGCAAATAGAGCCAGGAATAGCCCCTGAGCACTGCTGGATGTGACCAAAAAAATAAAAGCCAAGTCCTAGAGAGCTTGTATTTTCTATTTTTCTTCTTTTTTTCTTGTCAGTGTCAGGGATTAAACTCAAGACCACACACTTGCAATCTAGATGCCCTACTTCTGAGCAATAGCCTGTTCTTGTTTCTATAGTTCTTGTTGTTGTTTCTATATAGTTTCTATATAGTTCTTGTTTCTATAGTTAAGGATTCCTGAATTCTATGGAACAGTGGTTTCCCAACTACATTAACTTATTAGACCATAAAAATCGCATTCTCAAATAAGTTTGGCTTAAAGATAGAGAAAACAAGTTTTTTGGGAAGTGGTATGGGGATTTTGTTTGGTTTTGTTTTGGGACCCACACCTGGCATTGCTCAGGGCTTACTCCTGACTGCTCAGGGATCACTCTTGGTAGTGCTCAGGCAGGGATAGAACCGAGCTTGGCTGTGTGCGAGGCAAATGCTTGACCACACTCTACTACCTCTCCAGCCCAAAGTGATTTTCAGTTTCTTTACTGCAGGATAGCTTCAATTAAAATAAAGATATAGTGAGACTTCAAAGGGAATAGTGACTCAGTTTTCCAACCTGAGCAATAAGTATGTACCAAGTTCATTTCATTCATTCATTCATTCATCATCCTGTTAATCGTCGATTGCCTCGAGCAGGCCCCAGTAACGTCTCTTTCATCCTAGCCCTGAGATTATATTCAAGGCTTTTTAGGAGAAAGAGACCCATCATTGTTACTGGTATTTGGCATATTTGGTGCGCCACGGGGAGTTTGCCAGACTCTGCCCTGTGGGCAGGCTATATTCGATAGCCTGCAAGTTTGTCCAGAGTAGGAATGAGATAATGAGATATCATAAAAAGATGTTCTGATAACCGCGGCCGCGCGGTTCCGGGAGCTGCATTTTGTAGTCTCTGAGTCTTGGCCGCTGATGGGATTACACGGCGCCAGGGGGCCAGGTGGTGGGTGTGACCCCCGCCTACTGGAATTTGGAGGATCTGGGTGGAGGATGCTCGACTCCAATTCGAGTAGGCTTGGAGATCTCGGCCCCGGAACCCGCGTGGCTTTGTCCCTCTGCCAGTACCTTCATGTGTGCGGAGAGTGGTCTCAGCATGGTGGTGGCTGGTCCTGGAGGTCTTCGGCTGCCGGAGCCCTGGTCGGGGTGGGGAGGAAAGCTCAACCCGCTCCCCTCCAAGGGACCCC